AAATGTATTAAGGAAAAAATGGAAATTTTAAATTTAACTTCAAAATGATAAACCTTGGCAGTTATAGCAAGTAGTTATAAAAACTACACTCCTACTAAGCTACACCAATATACCTATATTAGTATGGAAATTGTAAAGTATTAAACAATATTGGGAAAATGTAGTTCAAGTTCGAAATATCACAAAAATACTGCATACCTATAATACCCTTGCATAGTTTATTAGTTTAACCAAAACAGCGCTACAACACATTATTGTTCGTAAACTTAAAATTAAATAAAAATAATTTAAGATATTTTCATAAGCGCAGGAGAAAAAATATTTAGGGAAAACCGGGAATTTTAACTCAAAATTGGTTTTCGACAAAATGGAATTTTCACTAGTTGTTTATATTAGCATTTTCTATACATAATAAAATTTTTTAAATATTTTGACTTGTTTTGAGCTATTTACGGACATTATAAATTTTCAATTTTTTTAGTTTTTTTTTTCTATGAATGTCAATAAAATTTCATTTGTTGGGTAAAAAAGCTTGAAAATAGGTACCTATTTCATATTTACTACATTTACATAAATTATATTGTGTCCAGAGTAACAATTTATTGTTCTCTCGCAAGTTCTACAGCCAAAACCAATAATAACGGGACATTCCAAGACTTAGTACCTATACGACCTATACCTACTACCTAGTAGCAATTATCTTATCCCAGATTATAATAACAATATTAATAAATAATAGGTATATTACCTACTAAAGAGGAAAACACACGAATGTATTGCAATTGCGCACTAGGTTTATGTAGGTACTATACTAGTACAATAATATATTGATAAAAAATACCGTCTAGAAACCTTGTATATAGAAGGAAATTGAAGAGACCAACTAAAATGTGCACTTTGTTATCGTTATAAGTTATAAGTTATAATTTAACATTTATAACAGATAATCGATCATGATCATCGATTATAAGTCACGATATCAGGTACCTACGACCTACCTACCTACAACTTTAATAGGTACGTAGGTAGGTAAGGTACTATAAGTAGGTATAAATTACAATTATATTAATTTTTATCACGACTGAGAACGTACTAATATTATATATAAAAATATTAAATTAGGTACTAATTATAGGTAGTAACTGTAGTCTCCCCTAAATAATATTTATTGTAATATTTATGTAGTTATATATATTATGTTTTTGAGTTGCGAATATAAATAAATTAGATTTCACCAGTGGGCAACTGATAAATATTTAAAATATATGAAATTGATGAACATCGTCGATATTCGATACCTATGTAAAAGCATAAACACGAGTGGCAGGTAGCATTATTTTTCTATAAACCAATATTCGTACACTACCGCCTACTGTAGTGTTAGATTATATCAATTTATTGATAATTGGTTTCATTTATGTATATATAGACTCATTCGATTTTAATAATGATTATTTATTTTTGATTTCACTTATTTCACATATTTTACGATTGGGTAATTAATTAGTAATAATATTTAGATTAGTTCAATATAAGTTGCAGTCTTAAATTTTAACTATAGTAGGTGCATGATAAAGTATATTATTCCATATATTATAATTTATAACCATATAAGGATTAACTTTATCCAGCACCACGGTCGTGTAGTAATAAAAAAAAATAACTGCATGACGGTGTGTGTATAATGTATCGAAGCAGGAGTTGCCTATTTAAACTGTGTAAGATACAGCTAAATTTGTTATACTACATAACTAATTTTCTAATGTATAAATTAACTCCTAGTAAACTCCAAAACATCAGAAATGTTGTGTAGAACGTGCTTTTGTAAAAAACATAAAAATCTTAAGTTTAGAAATTAAGTTATAAATAAAAATGTGCGAACTTTTTAATGGAAATTTATTTAAATTCAGTATTCGTCGTCATCGTCGTCGCACCAAGCGTCAATGTTAAAAAGTTGCCAATGTTACCAACAATAGTACCGTTCTTATAGATTATTGTGTAAATACTCAATATTTAATAACGATAACATTTTTATGTAAACTTATTTTATTTCAATAATTTATTTACTTGGCGAGTAATTATTTAGAATAGTCTATAAATATTAATAAAAATATATTATTTAAAATAATAATAAGTTATATTTTAATAGTCCTCCACCATTTAATTATTTTGTTCATCACACTTTGTTTCTTTTAAGAAATAATTCCTCTCCAAGTAAATAAATTATTGAAACAAAATAAGTTTACTTAAATTCAATATACTTAGCATTTATTCATGATATCACATCTTTAAAGTGCTTAAAGATCTTATATTATTTTACTTAGCCATTTTGACACGTAGTTTAAGAAGGGTTTTTGTTGTGATAGGTACTATATTATAGTTCAGTATTACTTACAAAAGGTAGGTAGGTAGGCAGGTATTCACTAATATGTTTTTAAACTTAATCCAAGTACCTCCCTACTTATATTAATACTAATTTAAAGGAAAATAATGTTATTGTTGGTTAATGAATTAATGATTATCCTGTTGAGTTGATGATAGTGACTTTCGGACTTTCCCTTTACCAATTATTTTATAATAATCTTTTTTACATCAGTTTCAACAATAAAATATGTAGGTACATGAAATATACCTACTACCTAGGTACATCATACATGTAATATTATCAACGATAAAATATTTATTGGGACTTTTTCAACTATAGGTATTCGTAATGTAGGAAATAGGAATGCATAATTACATTTTTTAAATGTATAATACATTAATAGGTACCACACCCATATTGTAACGATTATAATCACAAATGACATTTGAAAATTCAACATTTTATATTTTCCCTTTGTGAATTATACAAATATAATAATACTCTTATATCTAGGTATTTATTACTTACCTAATAAATTTAACTTTAATCCATGTATGCATCTATAACGAAAAAGTATACTTATGTAAGGCTATTATACATTGCTAATTGCTATACCTACCTTATATTATTTTTCTCCTCCTATGAAATATTGAAATATAATATTTGTTTATATAATACATATATTATATATATTATAATTTATATATGTTTATACCATATATTTCATAGTACCTACCTAGTGGCTAGCAACTACTTACCCCTTGAACTATATTGTACCTACCTATTTACTATTTTGTATTACACCTATACCGAAATCTACGAGATTGTCAACAAATCGCATAATATTTACATTCGTTTATTCGAATACATACCTAAACTCGACTAATCACTAATATCATTCATTAATTAATATACATAATATATATTTAATGAATGCTAATATTTATATAGACGGTACGTCGGTTACCTATAATTACCATTGAACCATATTGTTCTATGATATTACCTACAGTATTAATAATATTAATTTTACAATATTGAAAATAAATGTTGCTTATTTCAAAAAACCATTGCATAAAGGCGGAAACAATAATAAGTAATAAGTAATAACTATTAACTAATAGATGTATCAACCATACAAGACGTGTACAAGTGTACAACCCTTTAAAAAAATGTTGTAAAATGTTGTTACAGATTTTTTCATAGAGGGAATCGTGAATCTGTGTTACAATAATTTAGAAAAATTAGTTTTCCTATAAAACTAGGTAGGTACCTACCTAATTGTAATGTAATACTTATTTACCTATATAAGGACTAATTAAAATCATATTTAGTTACTTAATTTAATATTTTATTAAAAAATATTTTACCATTAATTATTCTTATGGTTTTTGATTTATACTTTTGGACTTTGGTGAGGAAACAGGTTAGGTTTAACTAGTTAACCTTCACAACAATTGCTATTAAGGTTTCAACCGACAATATTACCTTATCGTAAGTATTTTCTTATAGAGTTTTAATTATAAACACATTAATACATAATTTATCATTGCAGAGAACTAAATATAATTATACTCGTAATTATATAAACACATACACCTATACAAGGTAATTTACAAAAAATCTTCACTATTGTCTGTTTTGTTATGTTGTACTTTTTATTCACCCACAATAGAGTGGCTACTGTTCCAAATATACAGTTGTACAAAAATTTGATCCTTAAAATGTAAACTTTCTTATTATAATACATTATATACCTACCTATTTATATGTAGATAGGTATGCAAAAATAATATTTTAGTATATTACCCAGTATTTGCATACCTTCCTAGTTAATTAATGAACCAGTTTGTTGATTCTTAAAAACAAAAATGTTGAAAATACTGAGATACCTATCTATTGTGAATCACCTATACCTACAAAATAACCAATTTAAGTATAGGTACTAAATAAAGTACCTACTAAATAAGGATGTACACTAAGATTAAGTATATATTTAAAGTAGCCATAATTATCATTAAATATAATAATTATTAAACAGTATATTTTATAGTTTTATAAATTTCACATAACATACATTTTGAGCAATAGGTAAGTACATAAAATATAAAAATTTAAAATACAATATAGGAACAAAAAAATACAAAAATATCACTAAAATTTGTTTCTCAAAATATAAAATACCTAACAAAGTTGTTTACAAATGTATTGAAAGAAAAACTTATATGTATTGTGTACAATATTTTTAGTATAATATTATATTATTGTTGCTATATATACAACAGTACCTACCTGTAGGTAAATACAAATTATATAAACACTTTAAATCACACAATTATTGTCTTAATAGTTAATAATCAGATCTATTTTACATTTTTACCTAAGTACCTCGTACCTACCTTCCTAGTTACTTTTTGCACGATATTAGATGGTTTGTATTTTATTATACGTATAATAAAATTATATAAAATTATTGAATGTGGCCATACAATTAAATATTATAATATCTATGAAAATTCAAAATATAGTCAGATTTAAAATATGTTTTCATCTCCCCATGAATTAATTACCTAAATATTTACTATTATTATTTATTTGTTATTCTATACAATTGTATAAATGTTTATTAATTATATTATATTTTATTTGCATTAATCAACAAATGTTTAATGACCTTTTGATTTTCCTCTACAACTGATCTTAAATCTCTTACTTCTTTTAATATTTCTTGTATTTTAAAAATGTCTTTGTCATCACAGCTATCTTGTTTTTTTCTTTTAATTAAAAATCTAGCAGCGTCTATAATATCTCTAGGCAATGTTTGTTGTTGATTCAAAGGTTTAACTGTCATATGAGCTCGATGTTTAGAAGGATAAACCAGGGCCCTACGTTTGACGTTTTTTGGCCAAAAACTTCGCAACATGAATAGTTCGATATAGTATATAAGTTTAATCTGACATCTAACTTTAGACAAACCGGCAGTCTTTTTTAAGCCTTGTATATCATGTACAGCAATTCCGACAAGTAGATTCATAAGTATAATTGACACAAATACTAAAAGGGCCACGTATACAATATAAGCGCTAAATTTAGATATTATCGGAGATTCATCGTGTACTTCTAACATTGAAATATCCAATTCTCCCGCCATCATCACTAGTACTTTTACAAAACCAATAATGGGATTGTTGAACCATTTAGAAGAAGGGAACACGACACAAAGGCTAACAGAAAAACCTATTAATAGACATATGTATGCCAAGAGGAGTTTTGCAAATTCTTTTTGAACTTTAGTGTACATGGCGACATAAGTGTCAAACCAAGGGAGTTGACCTATTTTTATCATTAAATTTGTCCAAGCACAGAGTACGCAAAAAGCTCCAATATGATTCTGCCAGTAAGATGTGTATCCACTAATATGAAACGATATTAATGGCACGCTTATTAATACTAACCATTCGCTCATGTTACTTAAACTAAGGACATATTGATGAACATACATATACCCAGCCATTTCTGATATTTTCAAGAATCCTTCTATGATGCTGATCAAATACAATACATAAATAATTACATCCATTACTTGATAGTTTTCTACTAAAAATTCACCGAGGGTGGAGTTATTCTGGAAACATGTCGAATTAGTTTGATTTGGCAAATGGATAGCGTTGTAGCAATCGTGACTGAGTACGGTCGTTACATAGAGCGTATACAGAAGAATGAAAAATCCCAAACTTGCCAGTCGCATTAAATAATATTTCCGTATCTTTCTCCATTTAAGAAATAAAAATGCTTGACACAGTGGATGCTGTAATAGTTCATATTGGCCTTCTTCTTGAAAACATTTTAGCAAATCAATTTCACCAAAAGTATTACAGTTCAACAAATACTTAAATCGTAGTTGTATCTCCGGACCACGCTTAAACCCATCTGCCCAGTTAGATGTAACGGCACTGTCCAACTGTTTGGCTACGGCTGGCACGCACGAAGGCACTTTTCTTACAATCATGTTAAGTGCCGATATACCACCGTACGTTTGAATTCCTACGTTTCCACCCTTGGCCAACAATGACTCTACACATTCTGGTACCTCGTTGATCGCCGCTATGTGTAGAGGTGTAAAACCAAAGTGATCTTGTACGTTGATTTTTGCCTGGTGACTTAACAACGTGTCTACTGCATTACAAACATTTAGAGTCTTGACAGATATGGCCGAGTGCAATGGTGTGCGGTCATCTATGTCTCTGGCGTTGACGTCAGCCCCAGCTTTTATCAGAAAATCAATGCATTCCACGCTCGGAGCTTTTGCGGCCATGTGTATAGGTACTTGAAATTTCATATTTTTAGCATGTATATTAGCCTGGTGTTCGATCAACAATTTTACGCACTCCACGTGTGCAGACTCGCAAGCCAAATGTAACGCCGTACATTCGTGATAGTCTTTTTGGTCGATTAACATTTTATCAGAACTCAACAGCATGTACATACAGTCTGAAAAACCTTGGTCAGCGCAAATATGTATAGGCGCTAAACCCATCGAGTCCAGCGTATTAACGTCCACGTTGTATTTGAATAATAAAAGTTGAATGCACCCTACAGCTCTGGATTTTACAGCGCTATGGAGGACAGTGGATTCGAGTTTACAGCCGTGTTCGATAAGTGTATGGACCGCATCGACGGAATCTGTGAAGGTGGCGAAGTGTAGCGCTGTCATATCGTCAACGCGGCAATTCGGTTCACATCCATTATTTAACAACCACCTCAAACAATTAACACAACCGTTCAAAGCGCTTATGTGTACAGCACCATAGCCTCTATATGGCAGTAAGTAATTAACGTTTGCGCCGGCTTTAACTAAGACTTCCACGATATTACACTTATCGACAAAACACGCCCACAAAACAATTAAATTTTTCAGTTGCTGTGGACACCGATTTAATGTATCCAAATTTGCCATACCGGATTCAATATCGTGAAGAAATTGAAAACCATTAGTGAATCCTTTTGCCGAGTCCAACAGACATTGTTTCACCATTTCCTTGTAATTATTAACGCTCAATTGATTGGTGCTTTTGGACCCGTCTACGGTTGTTTCGGTACGTTCGTCGACTTCCACTAAATCCATATCCGGCTGTTCAAAAGATATCGGCCTATCTCGGTTCCGGTATTTTGAGTTCTCGTGAAAACTAAAATATCTTTTTCGCTTGTTCGTTAGGTCCATTCCCATTTCCAAATACTCGCGAGTACATTCGTCTAGGCTCAAACGCCGGGACACTTTTCTTAAACTCATGTTTTCTGATTTTGTTCGCACAATCACTAAAACAGTACATCGATGTACACCACTACATCGCGCTACGGCCGAACTACACTAACTGAAATGCACACACTTCGCAGACCGCAGTCACGTCTTCGTAGTTCGTTGTCAATGACCAGTTTTTCTCCCGCTACCTTTCTACTATAATCGGTGGGAGACACGGTAAATAAAATATTCCAGTCAGTTAGTGACTCATCTTAATTATTGAACTAGTATTCAGAATTCCCATCGTAACATTACGTATAGGTAGTGTACATTTTCTATTATATATAGGCATTAATTATAATAGTAAGTCGACAACAATTATTATTACGATCAAAACTAAATAGGTGGGTACAATTTTCCACTGACGTTGCTATATTAATCATTAGATAATGGTGATTTAACATTTTTTCCCGAAGTATAAGTATTAGATACATGTCAATTTTAGTCGGGCACTTACTGACAATTTATATCCTTCAAAAGTATTGAATAATTGCGAAAATAACAAAAAACAATCGTGTGGTTTTATTTTTAAGCTAACTATAAATTATTAAATCATGTGTTTCTATATGCACATAACCAAGTATAAAAATAGGTACACATATAAAAATATTACACTATATAATATAGATAATAGGTGTATGTATTGTTACTGTATAGTGTAGATATTAAATATAGGTAATAATAATTTTGCTAGGCATTCAAATTGATACACTAATTTTTTTTTGACAGTTCAATATCAAGTAATAATTTATATTTCGGAATTTAAAGTATAAATTATATTATTATTATAATACTGTAGTTTTTCTTTTCTTTTTTTTTTAGCTTTCAACCAAAAGTTATTACAGCAAGTGCCCACGTTATAGATAGGTACCTAGCTTTGAAGCCACGCATTGACGAAACCGTGCCTCCTAAAGACAATTCTGAGGTCCCAAGTTGGTCACTCAATACAATGTAGGTAGGTACCGTACCTACACACCTTTTTGTTACATAATTCTATAATCCATACGCTGTATTATACCTAATAATGTTATAATAATAATATAATTTAAAAAATAATAATATACATTAATACGATTAAGAGAAAGCCAAGCCAATAGTTTTCAATGAGACAAATATACTATATAGCTATGCTGTAGACGTAGGACGTAAGTAGGTACCTACTCGTACACGAAATCCAACAAAAAAGTTAACTAGTTTTAAGAGTAAAACATAAAAATTGATAGAAACAACAATTTGGAGACTTCCTTCTCGGTGTTTCGTATTATGTGTTTCATGTTCGTGGTAGCCGAAAAGTTGGTGATTTACAAAAATTAAAAATTAATTGACATATTGAAGGTACATATTATATATGTATAGGCGATGGTGTTTTGGAGGGTATACGGTGCATATTATACCCATTTACTACTGTCTATGTGATGAATTAGCATAATATACTCTGAAAAAATAGTACCTAAAAATACGCAAGTATACGATCGTATATCTACATTATTATTTTTTAATTAATCAATAATCCGTATTTTGTATTTATTGTCATGTGACATTTATCAATCTACAATCATCTATAAGTTAGAACTGTGTAACAAATAATTAATATATAATATTGGTTATTACTACGAGTACCTATAAGGGATGGCAACTATAGTTGCGTCCCGCGGTAATAATTTCTGAATTGAGGCCCGAGTTTTTTTTGGGGGGTAAATACTAAATACGAATAATTGCGGTACAGGTTTTTTTTTACCGTGAGTGCGAATTGTACGCTTTGAAGTATTTAATTTTAATAATTACACATACGCATTTTTGTTAAATAAAATTATATACTTTCTAAACTTAATTTTCCTTTCCATTTTTGTTCAGACTTAGGACAGTCTGTACTCTGCAGCATCAGTACAACAGGTAGATTAAAAATGTTATTTTTTAATACTAATAATATTATGGCACTGGTAAAAACTTGTGTTCAATTTTTTTTCGGTTAAAAATGTTATTATGATTTTTTTTTTTTAATGTTTTTTGTATTGAATATTTTTAGTTAATATTATAGAACTAGTAAAAACTTGTATGATATTATGTAGGTATATTTATAAATTCAAGTATGCCAATTTGGTTTTCTTCGAACTGTTTCATAGTATTAGAAATAAAATTTTCATTTTCTTATACATTTTGTATGTGTAAATTAACCTTAGGAAAGAAACCGGTCAGCGGTGAAACGATTTCAGTAGAAAAGCGACAACTAAGGTATAATTGGTATTTTGGTATCTACATATTATTATATTACTATCATTATACTAATCAGTCAATTAGTTGTCGGTCAAGATTGAAAATCATCTAGAACTAGTAAGAAATTATATTATAATGGTAGTTTAAACCTATATCATGACTACTGTCTACTGATTGTCGTTATTATCGAACGGGGAACATTAATAATATGATAAAGGCATGTCAGATATGACAAAATATATTGATCGGGTCGTAACTTGGATATTATTATGACTCAAACAAACTTCCAATAAGAATTACTAAGAGCTGAATTATCAAGTTAAATATTATAAAATGTTAAATTAGACCTGCGAAATAGTAAGTTGTCAATACTTAGATAAATAAATCAAAATGTACATACAAAACTAGGTAACATAAAATGTTCACAAAGCTTGCGCAATTGTGAATGTATTCCGTAAGAGCTTTGTAAAATACCTAATTGTTATCCCACTTCCCGAGTGACACGAGCGGTTTTTTTAAGGGTTGAATGTTGAATCTGATGAGTTGTGCGCTTATAACATTTAAATATTTATTGCATATTTGCATCTTTAGCAGTGTTGGGTAAGTTACTTTTAAAAAGTAATTAAGTTACTTTACTCGTTAATCGTTACTAAGAGATAAATGTAATTAAGTTACTTTACTTGTTACTCAAATACAATTGTAATGAAATTATTTTACTCTTCAAATAGAAAAGTAACTAATTACTTTCTCGTTATTTTAAATTTCTTGGCAATTATCTTCTGCAGTAGTCAAATTGAACAAGCAAATTCTTTATAAAACCTGTATTATAGTTAATAGGATCATATTATAAAATGTAGTCTTCCACACAAGCTATATTCATATGAAACCTATTTGAAAGAATCAAATTAAATAATAATTTGAATTAACTGTTCTCGTGATTTAAGGTGCAATTAGACATTTCAAATGTCAAAACCGTTGAAAACTGAATTGTGCCGAGTTTAAATTAAATATATATACCTACATATTAGTTTTGTAAACATAATAATACCCGCATTAAACATATTATATTTTTTTTCAATTCGCAATTGGCAACTTAATAATTCGAAACTGTAACGCGTTATTCTATTGAAATTACTTTTCAAAATTAATTTCCATTACATTTTCGTTACTCGGAAATAATACTAATGAAATTAAGTAACGCGTTACAAGCAAAGTAACGCCGTTACAGTAACTTGTTACTTTCGTTACGTTACTACCCAACACTGATCTTTAGGTACCTTAAAATTTAAATTCGTAAATGAACGTATACCACTATACGTACTCTATAATTTTTTTTACCCCACTGGGTATAGGTACCTATACCAACTGGCTAGTGGCTACTTTACACAGTATAATATGTACTAATATTGTAATAACACATTATATTATTATAATATTGATAATAATTATATTAATTAGCCAAATCATTGGACCGCCTGTTTTTTAATATATTAGGTATTCTTAATGTAGGTATATTAAACATCTAACCATCAAAAACTGTAAAGGTATACCGACTCCATTATGTTGAAATGTGACGAAGGGCATATTATATGAGAAGCTGCAGTGTAGCAGTGAGAAAATACAAAAACAAATCGGCATAACGGCAAACGACATAAAATCATAAATGATTACAGTATTTTAGTTCTTATATATTTTTTTAAGTCTATGAACAATAGACATACTATGTTTTAAGGTTCTAACTGGCAAATGGATGACGATGTGCGACATCGGAAACGCGTCATTGGAGAACTCAATATGGCTACCTACCTATATATAGTTTTAGTTTATATTAACCGGATAATATGGCCAGCTCCAAAATTACGAATAAGAGATTAGAGAATACAAAAAAAATATATACACTACCTAAGTATAAATCAATATTTTCCGATAGGGTAGGTTTTAGGTATAATGTGGTCTCAATATAGGTACTGCTAAATCTTTTGAAATTAAGTTACTAACTACTTTAAACCGAATTCCTATTGAAATAAATAAATAAAAAAATACATTTTTGGTCCTTAAAAATCTTTTTAAATCGTCAAAAAATCATAAAATCATACCTATCCAACCGTCATTTTCAAATCAGATTCGGTAATGCACACTCAACTATATCCAATATTTCAGCCGGTGTTCCACAAGGGGGCATACTCTCCCCTGTACTTTATAATATTTATGCTGCTGATCAGCCTACTACACTAAAGACTCTAGTTGCTGATTATGTAGACGATAAGACAATAATATCTATAAATTCTAATCCGGAAATAGCCTCACACAATCTTCAGAATCACCTAACTCTTATGGAAGACTGGTATACCAAGTGGTGGTTCAAAATTAACCAGTCCAAGTCTATCCACACAACATTTACACTTCGCCTCTCTCCTTGCTCTGAGCTATCTATTTATGGCACTCAAATTCCTACTTCTTCTACAGTCAAATATCTAGGACATAGACTTGATCGCAGACTTACCTGGGCTCCCCACCTTAGATCTAAAAGACAAAATTTAAACCTACGGCGGAACCTGTTAAAAACTTTTTGCAATAACAACAAATACACACACATTAAAACTAAACTCCTAATTTACAAATCTCTAATTAAGCCCATCTGGACATATGGCATACAACTCTGGGGTAATGCAAAAATATCTAACGTCATCAAAATACAAACCTTCCAAAACATATCGCTAAGGAAACTACTTAATGCTCCACCTTATGTCTCCAAACTTTCCATTCAGCAAGATCTCAGAATGAACTCCGTCAAAGATGAAGCAAAACTCTACTATAAGCGGTTTCACAGTAGGTTGGTTACTTAATCATCCTAACCCTCTTATAAAAAATCTAGCACAGTCCCTTCGATTCCGGGTAACCCCGTCAGACGTCTCAAACGTAATTGGTGTCGTGACCTGCTAGATGCTTGAATCCTAGATAAAATCCTCCTACTAAACTCTAAACAAAATAGGTAGTGTCATCATTGGGTGGCTTCTTCCGTAGTATTACTCATGTTTTTTATTACTCTTATCTAATTTGCTTATTGTTCTCTGAATATATTGTAAATATCTTGTAAAAATAAAAAAATCGTCAAAATATTCGTTTTCAACAGTTCAATATTTGTTGAGGTTATTTTAGACGCTTTTAAGAGGACGCTACACCCGCATGTGTTGTCTCCGTCTTACAAATGTACAACATAGAAAAACTGTTTTTCGCAGGAAAGAACTGAGAAGGCTACATTCATAACTAAGAAACGAGATTTACACCACGTAAAAAGGAGAACTTTGGCTGTGCAACGTTGTTTTTATTTTTTTGATATCATTTATATGAAAAAAGTTCTTATTGTTTCAAAAACCATTATTGTTTGTGTTTTTCAAACTTGAAAAACTTTTTTCACATAAATGATATCAAAAAAATAAAAACAACGTTGCACAGCCAAAGCTCTCCTTTTTATGTGGTGAAAATCTCGTTTCTTTAGTTTCTCAGTTATGAATGTAGCCTTCTCGGTTCTTTCAAAACAGTTTTTGGTATGTTCTACATTTGTAAGACGGAGACAACACATGCGGGCGAAGCGTCCTCTTAAGGTATCAAACGATGTCCCAAACATGTTCAATGATTCCCTAATCCGTTTATTAATATTTATGTTGACGTCTTGACGATATAATATTATATATACTTATATAAACTCTATTTTAGAATTACAAATTTAATTCACGTAGTGTCTTTCTCTTTCTTGTCCCTTTTTATTCTGTGAACTACCGTCGTTTGGGGTTACTTTGCTCCGATTTTTACATTTTTTTTTTTGTTTTTGACGTAATATGTATAAAATTAAAAAAAAAAAAAATTTTCTTGGATGGTTCGATTGTTTAGAGTTCCCCAGACCTAATTATGACCTAAAATTGAACATATCTCAATTACTTTTTTTTTTTTTTTTTTTCAAAAGTGGAGCAAAGTTATCCATAGGGTCTGCATACTTTGCCCCATCTCAAAAAAGTCATATAAAATTGTTTAATTTAGTATCTGGAGCAATGTTAACAGTTGAAAAAAGAAACAGCACCATTAAAATGTATTTTAGTAAAAGGATAAAATGGATAAAATGCAAAACAAATTATTAAATTTAGTTCAAATCATTTTATTATTGTTTGTATTTTACTTTATATTACAAAAGAGACTTATAAACTAAATATTAATAAAGTAATTGCACTCATATTGCACTTAGACTTTAAATAATTAAAACTTTAACAATTAATAATACATTTTTAGTTCAAATCATTTTAGTATTGTTTGTATTTTACTTTATATCACAATAGAGACTTATAAACTAAATATTAATAAAGTAATTGCACGCATATTGCACTTAAACTTTAAATAATTAAAACTTTAACAATTAATAATACATTTTTTGGAGGAATCATTGTATGTTGTCTAGGAACTCTAGTTTCATTTGGTTAAATAAACTTATAAACTAGGTAAGTATTTGCACTTAAATTACCTACTACGAAATAACAAAAAAAAATGAATTAAGGAATTATTATTAGTATATGTTGCTCAGTTCTGGTACTCTGTAGATGTTTCTAGTTTTCGAGATTTTTATTGGCTCATCTATTCCTCCTACCACATCTTTCCACTCATACTCTAAAACATCAGGCACTTCAGGCCACTTCCAATAAGAGTTTGATTTTTTCATGGATTTTATCTTGGCCGTGTCATCGCTCAACTCCAAAATGACACCCGGATAAAACTCATTTTCGTATGTTACAATACAATATGAGCTTATGGACTTTACTATTGGCTTAAACCCTGGTATAGAAGTCTCTTGTACAGTCATAACTTCTTCAATTTCTTTATCTTCTGCCAAACATCTCTGACGGTAGGTCTCCCAGTCTTCTTCGTCTTCTGATTCATCTTGATATATTATTCTGTCTTCCGGATGAGCTGCAGTGGAGGTAGATGGTTCTGAATTTAAATCTGCTGTTGTAATACTTTTACCTGGGGGAACATTTATTTTTTTTCTTTTACCACCAGGTTTTTTTTCTGTCCATTCTGCCCTCTTTTTCTCTAAACAAGTTACGAATGATGACTCAATTGTACTCTGTACATCATCATCTTGACCAGGAATTTTTTTTAGCAACACTTCCACATCACATGGGAAAATTCCACACGCTTGAAACCCAGATTTTAAGTTGTTTGTTATAGTAGGGTTTATTTCTATTAACAAACGGCCCAAAAGAGTTGGCATGATTTCTTTAGTCACCAAATTATTGCCATTATTTTCTTTCCACTCTCCCAACAGTTTCCTCCACGAACCCTTTACACTGCGAAATACTGCCACATCTAGTGGTTGTGTGATGTGTGTACTGTTAGGAGGTAGGCAAACGAAAGTGATGTTGTTGGTCTCACTTAACTCCAAAACTTTAGGTGAAAAGTGAAAAGCTACATTGTCACAGATAACAATTTTTTTGCCGTCTAATCTGCGAGTTTCAGGAATTAAAATGCTTTCGAACCATTCAAGAAAGGAAGCAGAATCAAACCAACCACTAGTACTATTACTGTACCGTGTACCAGGAGGACCTCCTTCAGTCCAGGTACTCCATATATGGCGGGATTTGTATAACACAAATAATGGTAACAATTTTCCCGAAGCACTACCGCAGAACATGATAGACGTCCCTGCCTTAGAGGTGGTTCGAATATGCTCGAGATATTTTGTTCCACGTCGTGCGAATACTTTTTTTTTGCCGGGATCATCAACCAGATTTGTCTCGTCAAAGTTGAAAATGTGGGTTGGAGGAACTCCCTCCAATTCTTTAGATAAGAATGATATGTACTGCCTTAAATCGTTTTTTGTTATTCCCGCACGTGATTTTTTAATATTGTCGGCAAAACGTTTAGTTAGTTGGGGATGTCTTTTTAAAAAGTTTAAAATCCAATCATGTCCAGGAACATTAGATTTAAACTTTTTCACAACCCGACCAATTTGTTCAAGGTAATGTTTTACCACCATTTTTAGATCAAATTCTCCCATTGGGAAGCCATAATCACTGGCCTTTATTATGCAATTAACAAATATATTTTCTTCATGTTCGGTAAATATTGGTGGCACACCTGGATTAAGAACATGGTAACCTTTTAATTTGTTCAAAATTGTACGTCTAGGAATACCAAATTCTAGAGATGCTTTTCTATGAGATAATTCTTTATTTCGAATTGCTGCTAGACATCTGGATAAGGTTTCTTCTGTATAATTTTTATATTCGCGGGATCCCAATTTTCTAGTATAACGTCGAGGCATTTTTGTCTATGAAAAAAAAAGCTATGCAGGATTACCTATTATTAAGAAAAACTTTTATCTAATCTAGAATCGAAAATAATAGTTGATGGGGAAACATTGCGCCAAAACACTATAGTAAAATACTGGCGCAAAGATACCCCTTTTAGTTGTGCAAAGTTACCCCAATTATGAAATTTGCTTTTAAATTATTCAAAAGTGGTTTAAACACAAATCTTGATACAGCATCGTTTTCGCAACAAAATTATACACAGAATGAGTTATATCTTACCTTAAAAATCCAACAAAAAATGCGTTCCACAGAGAAAAGTTTGATAACTCAAATTTTCACGTGCTTAACGACTCCACAAATGATAACGCGCAGATAACAGAAAAAACTGCCTTTATCTATGGAGGTAACATATGAAATAGCTATAACAGTGCTGCCACCAACACACGAACTAAAATTAAATTATCACCATTTTCAAAGTCACCAGCTTTCACCAAAGGTTTTTTTTTTTTTGGAGCAAAGTTAGCCCGGGGGGAGCAAAGTAACCCCAAACGACGGTATTTGCAAAACAGTCCTATTTTAGGAATGATGAGAGAATAATATAGTGAACGTGGATCCGTCATTCCTATTGGGGGACTTAACCAGTCTCCGTTCATGAAATGTTTATCAGTACCTATATATTGATGTTTATATAATTTATACCGTTCTGTTTTTTAGCTTTGAGTTTAATGTCTAAATTTGTATGGGGCTCATCCCGTTTCATAATAATAAATAAAAATATATTATAGGTAGGTACTATTTAAGTTTTCTTACATATACTGAAATGTATCGGCTAATCATCATTTCAATACTTTTAAGATCTAACTTAAAATATTGATTTATGTTTGAAAAACCTAAACTATTATATAAATTACGATTTATGGTATAAGAACCAGGGCTTGAAACCGATTTTCGATACCGGTTTTGAATACCGGTTTAAACCGTTAAAAACCGAAACCGAAATCGAAACCGAAACCGAAATCGGAAAAAAATAATACCGGTATCCAAAACCGAAACCGAAATCGGAAAAAATTGATACCGGTATCTGAAACCGAAACCGAAAACGGAAAAAATCAATACCGGTTTCCAAAACCGAAACCGAAATCGGAAAAAATAAATACCGGTATCCGAAACCGAAACCGAAATCGGAAAACATAAATACCGATATCCAAAACCGAAACCGAAATCGGAAAACATAAATACCGATATCTGAAACCGAAATCGAAATCGGAAAAAATAATTTTTTGAAACTTAAGACGAAATCTTAAGAAATAACATGATATCCGAAACGGAAGTCGAAAATTATAACATTAATATCTAACATTTAAAAAGTTCTACGCATTTAAAATAAACCTATAGGCTATAATTGAATTTCTGTTTAAAAGCTATGAATAATATAATTTATAATGCTTATGGTAGAAAATAATAAATATCGTGTATATTATGTAAATTTGTTCTATCCTTCTATCATACAATGCGATCAATATTAAATATAATATTATAACTTATAAGATATTATTATTTATTATAACATCATGTGGATGATGGCAAAGCTGGGCAAGTTAACCAATTTTTTTAACTAGTTAAAGTTAAGTTATCCTTAAATAAAAAATAACTATGCTAAGTTAAAGTTCATTAGTCTTTTATAAATTATCATATTAAATTATTAATATACTGTATTAATACGTCTGGGGTAATTGTTTACTTCGTGCGCAAAACGAAGAATTAAATTAAATACATTTTTTTTACATGGAGTTGACTTAGTATTTTTGTTGGTATATTATTAGTTTTTATAAATTATCATATAAATATTATATATTATTATTTATTTTAATAGTTTATAATATTTATATTGCCGTTTCCATGGCGCGTTTATAATAATATTATTAAAAATTATTAATTTGGTCCATTTATTAGACCTATAGCCTAGGTCATGTGCTATGCCTTCTTTTTTTTTCTTAGTTTTACTTAGTTTTTTACTGGATTCTAAAATATTAACTCGAAAGTACCTACCTATATAGATATTTATATTATTATGTATACTTTCTGAGTTCTGCAGTAATACAATTGATATTAATAATGATTAATGGTGCCTAATATATTATATTATTATAATTAATATTTTATAACATAATAATATATTATTATGTAAGTAAGTCTAGCTGCACTGGTGCAGTAGTCTTCGTCTGCGGGCACCCGTATGTTTGCATAGGTAATTTCACAGGGTATATAAATTATTAGACGCATAATATATTATTATTATACGCAATATAATAATTATTATATTTATATATTATATATTATTTTGGTAAATGGATTAATCGTATAGTCGTATTCTAAAACAGTATACGCAGAAATACCTACGCTATAATAAAAATTGTATAACAATAATACTATTATTATTAAATTTACTATATTATAAGCTGTCGTGTTTTTCTGCCGCCACAGACGATCAGAAGACAGAAATAACTATGTGGCATAATTTTACTACATTAAATTAACACAATAGCCAACAATAAATTATGAAATACTGAGTCAATAATTATAGTATAGTTATAAATAATGTTTATTATTTATAATTTATTATAATACATTATAAGGCCTTAACATAATATTGTCTGGGTTTCCCTAAAAGCCGTCGACTGAAAAATGTGCTCCCTACCAACCGACCACCAACCATACTCTATTGGATTAATATACCTAACCTAGATTGGTATAATATAATCAAGCTGTGATCAATTTGATTAATGTGGTGGGTGGGACACACATGAAGTTAGCCCCTCATTGAGAAAATAGTTTCAACTTATAAACGATGAAGTTACACAAAATCTTAAAAAATTAGGTAGCAAAACATTTGGAAAATGTGTTATGAAGTGGAGAGGCTATAACTAAATACGTCATAATTACGTATTCATTCCAGTGTAAATATTATCATTGATTGCAAATACTATAGTACTTGTCAGGCAACCAGACGCTAAATCGTACTCCACGCAATGTTTGGCGATTGGCAAGTAGGTTCCTACGCCAGTATTTTATGCCATTATAAATTATTATAAATACAGGGATTAAAACCGATATTCGATACTGATTTTGAATACCGGTTAAAACCGTTAAAAACCGAAATCGAAACGAAAAAAATGAATACCGGTATCCGAAACCGAAATCGGAAAAAATCGATACCGGTATCCGAAACCGAAACCGAAATCGAAAAAAGTCAATACCGGTATCCGAAACCGAAACCGAAATCGAAAAAAGTCAATACCGGTATCCGAAACCGAAACCGAAATCGGAAAAAATCGATACCGGTATCCAAAACCGAAACCGAAATCGGAAAAAATTGATACCGGTATCCGAAACCGAAACCGAAATCGGAAAAAATCAAAACCGGTATCCGAAACCGAAACCGAAACCGGAAAAATTTTTTTCGGTTTCAAGCCCTGATAAGAACTATATTATGCGTTTTTAAAATTTGAACTAAACATTTTTTTGACGTTATTTTTTTAAAATTTTAACAAACTATGACGCATACTATTATTTATACAATTATACATTTAGTTATTATAGTTTGATAAGTTGCAAGTGTATACCACACGCTTGCTGTTTTATAGTATTAGAAATACTTAGAAAATCTATATTAATAATGTTGTAATATTACAATGATGTAGACACTTTTATACAATAAATATACGAAAAATCTAGTTTATTTTATTTTGATTCATCATTATATTATATTTACACAACTGCAATAAAATCAAAATTTTAACGCTTCTTCCAAGTAAACTTCCTTCTAGCTCTTGCTTGGCCTGGCTTTTTCCTTTCTCTTCTTCGGTAGTCCTTTTGCAATAGACCGGCTTGAAAAACAAATAGTGTATAAATTAATTGAATTATATTACCTTGCTAGGTGCCTAGGTATATAACAGCGAAATATATTTACCAATTCGCATGCGTTCTACTGTTTCAGGGTCCACAAAAGAACGTAAACTCCAAGAAATACCGAAACGAATTGCACCAGCTTTACCTGAAACTCCTCCGCCTCTTACAGTTGCATGAATATCGACTTTGTCAACCATATCCGTAAATAATAACGGAAACAGTATCTAAAAAATAAAACAGAAAAAGAAATTGTATTATAATACATACACAACACTAACAAGAGATCCTGTGATTTATAAACAAAATACAATTTTGAATAAAAGATTATTCAAAATGTTTGAAAATTGTCACATAAATTAAAGCTAAGAAATTGGATAACTAAAATTAATTTTATGTTGACAAAATGATCTCCTTATTTGCTTTACAATTTTAAATTAATATTTTGGTCTTTCCTATATAAGAAAAAACCGAACCTATGAGTGCTATCACCTATATGAAAAGGTCGAATCTAAGTTCCTACATACCAGGAAATAAGGGCATCCAATAAAAATAAAATAGATGGGAAAATTCCTATCCGGGTAAGAAAACGAGATGGATATTTAAATATTTCTACATTGGAATATACAGGAGGATTCATCATCATGCTCACTATTCAGTCCCATTTTATTCTTTAAAAACACATTTATATCTATTCAAATCCTGATATTTTGGAATTCTTAAGTAGATACACAGAACGACCATATTTTCAAATACTTGAAACATTTCATAGCGATACAAACTTCTTTTGTCCTATGAAGAATCACCGTTAAAAATGATAGTTAGAAAGTTTCAAAATTGAATAAAACAAAATGTATCATCACAGGGTCTCATAAAATTTGATAAAAATCCAAGTATTTGAATATATGATCCTTAAGTACGCATATACTTAAAAATCTAAATTTAAATAAATTTATTATTACAAGAAAAAATGAGGGTGAGCACATCCTATGTATTAAATTATTAATACAAAACAGTAAACGTGCCAATAATTCGTGTTTGAGAATCCATCAATTTAAAATACCTTTTCTTACAGACTTCTTGACTTTTATGAAAAATGACACCGATTAAGTATATAACAGGGTAAAATCATACACAATACACTTTATATATATATATAGTGAGAGAACTCGCATACATATTATTTTATACAATATTAATAATTGTAATATTTACACGTATAATAACTTTCTATTTATTAAAAAAGTAAATCTTACTGAACCTCTTAAGTCCATACATTATTGAAATAATAAAAATTATTTTAGAACTAATGTTTGATAAATAACTCTTTGAACATTTCAAAAATAAAATTAGATTAAAAAGTAAAATTAAAGTTTCAAGTTGAAACAATATTGAGATTTCTTCATAATTAAGAAATAAAATAAGTCACTGTCATGGATGAGTTAACTTTTAGTTAAATAATAAAAAACTGCATAGGAAACACGATATAGATCGGAGACAGTGTGTCAGTATTTATTTCTAAGGATTTTTAATGATTTATTTATATTACTAAATACTATGAATAATTTATTTATCTATTATTTATACGGGATGTAAGATTCCTATTAAACATATTTTACAGAAAATATCGCTCATTATGTAATTATTTAATATGCCTATTATTATTATGAACTTATAAGTCAATACCTTAGAAAGGTGTGAAAAGAAACGATCGTGGTATAATTATCTTATACATTATTACCTAATCTAAAATGTATTTGTACTTAACATAGAAAATAATAATTTAGGTAAAAGTGTAACGTTTCAAGTTCCTACAGTTAATATCTTTTGAATAACAATAAAATAATAAAAATCTTTATTTGGAGAAAATAAATGAGAAATTGTTATTTTACATTTGATTATCCATTTTCGTCAAATGTCGAGCTTAAAACGACGCTCATAAAAAATTATTATGGATTTCCTCTATTTTTTTTTTTAAATATGAGGAACTTATAGAGAATCTCACATCAAATTTTGAAGCATCGGGTACAAAAATTTAAAATGTCATCGATAAAAACTACAACATTTTTGCAAATGTTCGTAATTTTGACGAATTTCAAAACAGACAACCTAGCGTTATGAGAACAGAATGCAAATGTAACCGGAAACTTCATAATACTCAAAATACAAGTATTGAATGATAAACAATAGTAATAATCATGAGACAATAAAACTATATTATACCACAACAACCACTATATCATTCCAACATTATTTCCGGAGGACTCATCATTGAATGATTATTAGATGTTTGTTAAATAAAAGGGTAACAAACACCGGTTAATAGTCTGATATAAAATTAGGTATGTACTATGTTGTAATATTTATTTACCTTATATGTTAAGGTTATTGCTCTTATTCGCAGCCCATGTAATTCTTAATTTGCTTATGCGCGTATCAAATCGGACAAGCTATATTATCCATAATTAATAATTATTAATCATAATATATTTCATGACGTGTTGCGCGAGTCAAGGAGTAGATACGCGTTTGAAATCAATGATTAATTCGGTGAATGCAGGATGCAAACATTTATTAAGAATATCGATTGGTTGTTGCATATACGAGGGGATTCGTTTATCAAAGTATGTACCGTAATACGCGTTGAATAGAAACAGTCGACCTTGACTTTGATAGTTAAAAAACCAACGGATTTACGTGAGAGGAATTTAATTCTTTATGGTACAGAATGTCAGAATATAATATAATACAACAACGTTACAGAAGAACATAATCGTGTTAAAAAATTTTTTTTTTAATATTAATAATATAGGTAGGTTTATAATATTATGTACAACCCGTACACAGTCTCTTTGTTAGTATATTTAATATTATGATATACCTACTTAACGTATAAAGTATTGAACCCGATTTCACCTACACCGGAGCCCGATAGCCAATCGTAATGCGTACGTCGTATAGTCATGCAAAAATACGGTATTTTATTTATTATTTGTACCTACTAGGTATACTATTTTATACCTTGAGGTTATATTAAACTTTGAATTTTACCATGCAGCGTGCATATAAGTAGATATTTAATTTTAATATTATATGCTATACGCATTTTATATAATATACTGCAGTACCTATATAATATTCAAAATTCCTTTATTTTAAAAATTACTAAAATTGCATATAGACATTGCTTATGCAAATGCATTAATATTGAACAATAAAAAGACAACGGATAGCTTGGTGTTCTGTAAATTTTTAGATGAGTAACTTCAAATTAACCAATAAACTAAAAAAAATAACGAAAAGTCTATGAATGATTATTAGGTAACCTGAAAATTATAGATAAATATAAATAAATTAGGACCAATGACAAATGAATAACAATACAGTAGAAACTCGATAACATTGTAAACACAAACATACCTATACACCATATAGGCAAAACTTGTATCAGCAGCACAGACCCTGAAAATGTATATAATATTTTAAACTAAAATATGATTTCACCTATGACCTACACAAACCAAAATATTTGTGTTTATCACTTTTTGTATACGTATCAAAAAAAAAATGGATACATGCATAATATCAAATACCTATAATACCATCGCATAAAATAAAAATCTATTTAAGTATACAGCTGGCTACAGCGCATGTACAATACCATTTGATACAATTATATTATGTAAAATAAAATATTAATAATAGTAAGACGTACCTATAACCTATATGAACGCATGTATTCAATTATAATATATTATCATACCGCAGCAATAGCAGCGGAGACGCAGTCACGGTGCAGGGTTTGCACGTTACCGGTCACCGCCGTTACCGTGCGCGTTATAATATTATTATTATATTATGAATTTGGTATTATAATAACGATAATTTTATTATAATAATAAAAACAACGATGAATAATAATAATAATATATTAAACGAAACGGAGCGGAGCGCCGAGCGGCTGACGCGCGCGCGTGTGTCTGGCCGTCGGGAGGGGGTAGGGGGTATATAGAGGGAGATACGATCGCGTACCTATATAGTTCCGATAGCGGCCACGCTGTTGGCGTCCGTAGCACCGCGAGAGGCCACCGACCGCATATAATATTATCATACCACCGCCGCACCGGACATTGGCGAGCGAATCGTCGAAGGAACCGAACGACGCGCGCGGAAACCCGGTGCGCTTCAGCACGGCGTGATACTACACTCACGAAACGACCGTCAGCCAGTCTTCCGACATCCGGTTTCCAATATTGTTTATTGTTCCGCACCATTCGACGTGCACCGTCACCATGACCGGCAAACATCACCTGGAAGTGGCCGTGCCGCTGGACAGGACCATCAGCCTAAACGTGCACAACCGGCAAGGTGGAGCAGCCGCAGCGTCCCGGTCACCGTCGTCGCTCAAGGACCGGTGGTACAGCTTCCGGCACCGGCCGGGCGGCGGCGGTGGCGACCATCGACGGCGGTCCAACGTCGAGGAGTTCCTGTTCATGGAGAGTCTACCGGACACGCCAGCCACCGACGAGCCGCCGTCCGCGGCCGAACAGGAGATCGAACTGTCCATAACCATACGGAAGGACACCATTAGGCGCGACCTGATGGACTCAATGCGCACGTGCAACGGGCGGCTGCAGCTCATGGAACTTGTAGAGCTCGGCGAGTTCGACCCGGGTGGCGTGCAACCGCCACCCAACCAGAGCGAGCTGGACAGGCTGCTCTGCTGGGCCGTTTACATCGGCGCGCCGGCCGAATGCCTGGACACGCTGCACGAGTGCGGCGCCAACTTGCACTATTCGCACTGCGGCAACATCACGGCCGTTCATTTGGCCGCCTTCATGGGCAACGCCGACGCGCTCAGGTACGCGATATTTTAAATTAAAATACCATAAATATAAGTTACGAGTTAATTATTATATATTTATTTTTATCAATGGCTCTGACTAGGTCGTGTTTAATTTTATATTCTTATATATTATAGGAGACGACTTTGTTTTCACCTTAATGTAGATTTTGATCAAACTCAAAAAAAGGTGATTTGGTAATTGGTTCTCGCCCGCATAGAAGTATAATATATAACTAATTCGATATCTATACCTACCTAATTCGTTTTATACGATAAAAACAATTTGATTTCTACCGATTCCACTTCATAAAGACCTAAGGATAACTTTGAAATGAATAATTACAGTTAGGTACCTACCTAAATATAATTTTTTAGAATTTATAAAAGATAATTAAGTATGTGTAAAACACGTAAAAACAATTTTTTTTATACTATTTTCATCATTTTAATTATTGGCACTAACTACTAACTACTACAATAATTTAATTTATTTACCAAAATGTTGATACAAGAATTAATGGTCCCATAGCGTGTTAACTGATATGGTTTATACTGTGCGATTTGAAATTCGTTTAATTTTTGTCGCATTACAATACTTTATTGTAGGCATAATATTTATCCTCAATCGATTATACTTATTTTTTTTGCAATTAACAAAAAATATCCTTAGAAATAGAGACCGACACATTATTTACGATGAGAATCGTTTTCCTTATAGAATGATTAGTTGAATTCAAATTTAACACATCCGACATCCATTACAGTGACCTACTCAAGGACGAGATACACTCAAAATTAATGTTTATGCAAAAAATTTAAATGAGATAACCGATCAATTATAGAGACGACATTCAAACAATGTATTTATGAAGACATGTATCTATATAATCTGTCAACAAGCCATGAAAATGAGTTATTTAGTTTACATAATATAGTTGAAATATTTTGGCAAGTCTCATCTAATGAATATATATAGAATTATAGACATAAAGTATAATACTTAAGTCTTTAAATAAAAATCCTATGAATGCAATAGTAATAAATGTTTTACTTGTATGCATCTATAGAATAAAGGGTTGCCATTCGTCCCGATTTCGCGACGGAAAATTTTAAGTTTTCAGCACACGATCCCAGTATGTTTTAAATCTCGATCAAAGAGGGAAAAAATACAAATTTCTAAAATTGAGTAACATGTATTATTTTTTGTATATTGGCCACCAAGTATGCCTAAAATTATAAAAAAAAAGTAAAACAATGTCGGTGATTTCAATTACGATCTAATTTACAAATATAATATGAATAATCGAAAAATCAACATCATTGTATTATTATCGTGATTAATAAGTACATAAAGTAGGTACCTATAGGTATATTATAAGTTTGATGGATTGGTGCACGAGTAGGGAAGGGCGTTGGACTATGGAGTTTAATAGACCTATATACACTTTACGAATATCATATGTATATGTACTTACATATAATTATAATAATTTATTGGGAACAAATCTTGGTTAGCATTAACTGTAATTATTACATTTTTATTTTCGGAAACCTATGTATTACAATGAGTTAATAAAAATTATGTTGAAAAAATATGAATTGCCGAAAGTCATTAGTTTTTAAGTTATAGCATTATAAAGTTCACAATTTTCGCAGTGTCTTACGCATTCGGCATTCGTACAACTCAATATTTTACCGTACGTTTAGAACTTTTCTGTTTTACTTAACAAATTTTTTTTTGTTTTGACGTACTTATGTAGTTAAGCATGCTGAAAACGATGGGGAAGTCTGAATTTGGCGGCCCGACTTATTTGAAAATTATAACTAATTAAAATTTTTGTATACACCCGGTGGTCACTTGCTCGCTCGGACAATTAAAATCGAAAACATCCCTAGAATTGTTATGTAAAAATACCATAGGTGAGTTTCAGAATTATTTTTGAACCATAATTTTTAAAACATTGATTTAAAAAAATATATACCATAAAAGTTAATGACTTCCAGAAACTAATTGTTGCACCATCGTTCTTAACAAGTTGTAATAATACATAGGTGTCCGAAAAAAAAATTTTAAAATAGATAAACTAGATTCATAACGCTAAATTTAACAAATATTCTGTTTGAAAAATGTCTAACCAACCCAAATACCAAATACACAATAAATACAATAGTAGATTATAAACTTTTAATTATTGCATAAGTATTAAGACAATTTTTTTTTTTGTTTAACAAAATTTTATTTACAATCTCTAATTACAATATATATTATAATAAGTACCTAAATGGGATGGGGATGATTAGCGGGAAGGGGGAAATCACCCATTGGTGACACCCCAGAAATCAATTTTAAAAATTAAAACGTTTGTTTTGTAACTAATAAATAGTTTAAAATAGAACAAAAAATTATTATTCATACTATAAATAATAATCCAAAATAATCTCCTTTACGAAGAGTGTAAGAATTGTATATTTGAATGTGTACAGAAATACGAATATAAAATATATTTCTAATGAAAACAATTTTTGTTAGATAAAAAAACAATAAAAATAATCACCTACCATAAAATATATCACCTTTGTTTTTTAAACATTTGACCAATGTATAAGTATTCCCTAACAAAATATAACTTATGTACCATGACCAAAACTTTATGAATTTTAATTTATGAGACAGGTGTTTTAAAAACCCGCTTGTCAATTATCCCGAGTAATATATACAGCAACCCCTGCGTATATATTATACAATCTATAATATAATTTTATGATTATTACATTTTCAACATCAGTCTACTATGTTAATGTAAAACTTAGATAAGGTATCAGTCATAACCATCACAGATTTTTTTTTTATTTAATAACAACTTATTTAATACCAACATCTAATGGGCAGAGAGGTTTTTACCCTTGAGTATTCCTATACAAAAAGATGTACTCACAGACCAATAAAAAAAGTAAATTGATAACATTGTGAAACCAATATATTATAACATATTGTTCATTGTTAAGTTCAAAACTTAAAATTAGTATTTGAATTAAATATTAAAAAATTATATACATGTTTATATTTTATCAGTATCTATAAATTTAAATTATACTATGCTTACAGGTGGCTTATAAAAAAAAAATGTGACATGGACACAATTCAAAGTGGATATACACCATTACATTCAGCTGTTATGGGCAACGCTTTAGAAACTACAAAAATTCTGATAGACCAGAGATGTAAAGTAACTGACACAGTATTACATTGTGCAGTACAAGCCAATGCTGTAGAATGTGTCAAGTACTTACTAAACATTGGTATAGACCCCAACACTTTGGATACCAATGGGAATACACCCCTTCATTTAGCAGCAGACAAAGGATATACAGAATGTCTAAAACTTCTTTTAGCTAGAAGTAATAAAACAATAAATTTAAATTCTAAATCTAGGCAATCGACGGCCTTGCATATGGCGGCTGAAAATGGTTATACAGAATGTGTTCAAATACTTTTACACACAGGGTCTAGTCATAGTGCGGTAAACTATAAGAATCAAACTGCTTTACATCTAGCTGCCAAAGCTCAATGTGCCGAATCTGTTGTTATATTATTAGAATTAGGAGCCGAAGTAAATGCTTTAGATATCGACAAAAGGACAGCTTTGCATTCTGCAGTTTGTAAAGCTTATTTATCATTCCACGTGGTTGAAGTATTGGTAAAATGGGGCGCAAATGTCAATATTAAAGATAGATATGGGTACGCTCCTCTTCACATAGCTGCTTTAAATGAGTTATCCCAATGTGTCGATTTTTTAATCATAAAAGGAGCTGACATAAGTTCTAGAACGGTAGGCGGGATGAGTGCTTTAAGCATAATAAACAGAAAAACACCCACAAGTATAAATACAATCAAAAAAAAATTTGACCAGGCAATTACATTAAATGACCAAGCTTCCGCCAAAGAAGTTGAACTAATAATGGATTTTCGATACTTATTACAAAATCCTAGTCAAGGGGAAATCATTTTATTACACACATTGGAAGAATGTGGTCAAAAGTCTATGCTTGAACATCCATTATGTAAAGCATTTTTGTACTTAAAATGGCAAAAAATTCGTAGATTTTATTTTGTACGTCTGGTTTTTGATGCAATTTTTGTTTTACTCTTAACCACTTATGTAATGACAGCTTTAGCACATGATTGTTATAATAAGTCAAGAAACCTAACAGACAAACAAAAAATAACTCATAGTCAAGAACTAAACGAATCGGAGAATCAAAATGCCTGTCGTTTAAATGTGAATGTATATTTTGATTCACAATTAATATCACACATAATTATAGAATTTGTTTGGTATATATTGTTGGTATTTACAATCGTCATAATAATCAGAAAATTAATTGGCACCACAGGATTTACTTCAGTCAAACAATATTTTTTAAACATTACTAACATTGTTGAATGGTTTGTGGTTGCAAGTGTTTTTTTAACATCCTTTTTATATGGAAATAAAACATATGACTGGCAAAACCCTATTGGAGCATTTTCCGTTTTGTTTGGATGGTCAAATTTAATGGTGATGATTGGCCAGTTACCTATATTTGGAACATATATTGCTATGTTTACCAAAGTTCAAAAGGAATTTGCTAAATTGTTGCTAGCTTACTCATGTTTGCTTATAGGATTTACAATAAGTTTTTGCACACTATTCCCTACATCAGATGATTTTAATAATCCCTTAATAGGTATAGCAAAAGTTCTAGTAATGATGACAGGAGAACTTGACATAGATTTGCTATTGAAATCTGAAGAATCTCCAATTATTTTTAATGTTAGTGCTTATATAACTTTTATACTGTTTATTGTATTTGTTACCGTTGTACTAATGAACTTGCTAGTCGGAATAGCAGTTCACGATATCCAAGGTTTGCACAAAACTGCAGACCTCTCAAAGCTTGTCAGACAAACTCAACTAATTCACTCTCAAGAACAAGCATTATTTCAAGGTTGTTTACCTAGGCGTGTTATAAATTTTTTTAATTGGAGCGCAAGAGTTACACCATCAGCATATCGAGTGGTACTTTATGTAAAACCTTTAAATCCTACAGAAAAAAGATTACCAAAATACATAATGGAAGATGCATTGAATATAGCAAGACAACAACGATTAAATACAGTTGACTATAAACAAGCTATGTTAGAAAATAAAATGGAAAACAAGGCTTTAGTTGAAGAAATTAAACAACTAAAAGAAATTGTACAAAATCAACAAGATCTCTTATTAAAGCTTATTAATAAATCTTCATAAATATTCCTAGTCTTAATTTGTATTTGTTATGTAATTTAAATATTATATGACCTATGTTATATTTAAATATTATGTATTGATGTGTTGATAAAAATATTTGAAAATATTACTTCATTATAATATTGAATTATGATCTTGTTATGTTTGTCATGATAAATTACCTAATAATAAACCCTTACATGTTTTTTTAAAAAAATAATAGGAGTATTTTGATACATAAGGGTCATATTTTTTATTTTCCTATGACATTTTCCTTTAACTCAAAATAATCCAATAAGTCAATAGTAATGTATGGGTAAAATAAGGTAATATTGATTGGACAATAAAATAATATAATACACAAACAAGATAACTTTTACTGTTCTGAGTTCTCCCTTCATTAGTTAATACACAGTTGTGTCTTATTAAACATGTTTGAAATACAAAACTTAATTATCATAAAAACTAATATTCTAAGCATGCACACATCAGCAATTTCCGTTCAATAAGGACACATTTCAAATTTATAAATACCACATTGTGAATTTAATTTCTTAGTATTTGACGTTCATATGTTGTTTATTAAGTTAATATAAACAAAAAATAAGCCAGATCTTAGATTTATAGGATTTTGTTAGTGAAATTTAACTATACGCAATGTGTTTTTGATTACTGATAAATAAACTAATTTCAAACACCCGGTGGTTCTTAAAAACAAACAAAATGTCTATTATTTATCCAATTAAATATACACACATGTATATATGTATATGTATATTTATACTTTTATAAATAGGACATAAATATACAAGAAAAATGTTTGAGTTATATCTAAATGCTAAAAATATAGGTAATGAAAATAAACTAAATCATCTATACTTACAAAGAATGTTACATTAATTTATATTTAAACTATCAATAAAAGTGCTCATTGATTTTTATAGATTTAACTTGCTCCATGGTTTAACTCAGGGTTTCCCAACCTTTTTCCCTCGCAGGACACTAATCCCAACCCTCATTTAGCCGCGGCACACTTGTCACTGACTTATATATGTATAAATATTTTTTTTATACTAGACATTCATCATATTAATTATTAATACCAAAGTAGTTGTATATCAGTATAATATTACTAGCAAACAATTTAAAATGGAGGGATAGAAAAAAAATATTATTATAATTATCCTAAAATTTAATTTATTGAAATGGAAAAACAAGATACATTACAATTTTTATAAAAAACCTTATCTTAGTGAGAAGTTTGGGAAATTTCGAGGCACACCCAGATGGGCCTAGCGGCACACCGGTTGGGAAACCCTGGTTTAACTTATTGAAAACCAAAATCAAAGATAAATTACTTAATATTTGATTTTTAAACAGATAATAAACAATAGGAATAAATAATTGACTTAACACAAAAATCAGATATGTATTTGCTAATGGAATTATTGTTTTTAAGTTATTAAGCTTATAATATATAATTATAAATACAGAACCGTGTTTTTATGTGGGCCATTATGTATTATTTATTATAAACTACCTACTGGCTACTATATATTTTTATATTATCTAATTTTTGTAATTAGATTTAGTAAAAATGTATGTAATTTACTCAAATTTGAGTGGACTATAAAATAATTGATAATAGAAAAAAAAATGAATAATTGAATTATAGTATTTTATTTACCTGTTCTCTGGCTTGAATATCATCAAAGAATTCAATTCCTTTTCCATTTATTGATAGCTTGCCTGTTCCTGGATAATAAACTGTAACATCAGCTCTAGCATCTTTCCTGGGGCAATCTACAAAGAAAAAAAATATTTTAATAATCATGCCACATAATATCTGTCAATTAATTACCTTTAACAGTAATAAAGGCTCTTCCATCTTTTGTGTATTCAACCTTAAAATATATTTTAACAATCATTAAATAAGTGTAAGGTACATAATATATAAGATATAGTAATTACAGGTGCTGATTCAATAATAGCCTTAGTAGATATCATTGGTTTTTGATAATCAGATATGAATTCCCCATACTTGTATGAACATGGATGTTTTAACAAACGCTCAATTGCAACTACAAAATTTTTGTACTAGAACAGATAGCATATGAATGCAAAAAGTATAAAATATAAATAACAGTATAATTTTTTTGTAGAGCACTCAAACATATTAAAATGTTGGTTTTATGGCATACAATTAACTACTACAACTTTCTAACATATTATTAACAAAATAATCTCAGCTTTGAAAGATAGGTGGTAGTATACTTCTAAACATTAGGTAGAGGTGTGATCGACATCAAGTAATATTAAGTAAATAACCTCCTAAGTAATATTTAGAATAGGTAATTTAAAATGGGTAACATTGGAAAGAATATAACAAACCATAATGGTAGGTTTCATTATTTGACATACAATTTGAAATTATATTTATATCCACTAAATCTGATAGCTAATTGATGTTTTGATTTATTATTTTTAATTTATTTGTTATCAAAAATAATTCTTATATTATATATTTTATTGTATTACCTCTCATCCTCTCAATCTGAATCTAAAAATGTTTGACCCATGATGTCAAAGGGTATCTCAAATTTGGCTAGCCTTAACATAAGGTTGGAGACTCTTGGCTTATAATAATAAATAATAATATACAAAGTATACAATAGTGTAATAATTAGACCATCATTTTTATTATTGTGTACACATGTGAAATGCTGAATTGTTGTGCTGTTTCATGAGTCTTTAAAAAAAAAAAAAAATTTTGGCGGAAACAAAAATTAAACTTTTGATGAAAAAGGACCATATAAATGAAATAAAATTTCTAAAAGCATACAATACATTTTGAGAAAATAGGTGTCCTAAAAAAATAACCATTAGAAATACACATAAAATCTTTCTTGACATTTTAAAAACAATTATAGTTATTATTATATGTAACTTCTGATCCTCAATTTTTATATAAGCTGATAACAAATTAATTATTTATTATTAGATTGATTATGATATTCACATATTCTCATATTTAGTAATAAACTTGGCGATCACACCTCATAACATAGCGGAATAAAAATCAATTATTGTAGATATTTAAAAGCTTTACAGAAATTTAAATTTCAAAAAATTTAATATGGCTATTGGTTTGTTATGTTAACGATTTATGAATTGTATTACTTCGTGATCAGATAGTTTTTCAACGGTTAATTTTTCCAAATCTTCTTTAGATAACCATTGACTTCCCAATGATGTTCTATAAAAAACATACTTTTAAAATTAATTCTAATCTTAAAAGGGAATAATATATAATTGGACTTACAGTTTTTTATCAGGATCTGGAAGTATATTGTTTTTTCTCAAACTATCTTCAAATTTATTTAATTCTGACAATTTAGTAGCGATATTCTATGAAATAAGATAAATATTATATTAAGATAGTATATATTGCATTTATAAAGGTTACCTCCTTTGTTTCACATATTTTCTATGACTATTAGATATTTTTATATTAATATGAAACGATTATAATATTTATATTATACTTCAACATCTTGACATAGATCAAATTTATTTTGTACAAATCAAGTTTTTTTTTTTTTACAAAATAAATTTTTAAATAACTTTTTTTATCAAACATTTGTATGCAAAATTAGCTGCCAAATATTAAAATGTACAGGAGTATATTAAAAAATGTATGTGGCTTACATGTAAAATCAGATAAAAATTTGGTTTCCCAGTATAAAAAAAAACATGAAATGGACGTCCAGACTCATCAAACTCTGCATCTTTTTTTGATGGAAATACTTCACTTGGAGGTTTCATTAAAGGTCTTGCTTTTGGATCATATAAACCAGAAGGAAACAAATAGTCAATAGCTACCTAAAATGAATTAACAAGATAAATACAGTTGATAAATATTAATTATTTTTAAAATATAGAATTAAACAATTAACCAATTTATTTTGAAGCTATGCTTTAATTTTAAATATTAAGGTGGCTGGTATTGGTAAAAATAATAAATAATAAGTATGTGATATATACAGACCAATTATTGAAAAATTCAGTATAAAAAAATGATACACATATAGAGTAATTTATTATAGGACATGTGACGACATCACGGAATGTCTAAACTCAAGATGAACTGAACTAAATAAATAGCACTATCTACGTGAAAAAGTCAAAAATCATTTCATCTAAAAATTATGTCACAAAATTGTTTTAATTTTGTAGCTCCCTTATTAACCCCCGTTAATATACTACTTGTTCATCATACCATAATACTTAAATAAGGGAAATTAGGTAAAATTGTAAAAATTAACTTTTTACATATATTATAAAAAACCTTTCATTCAAATTATTTAAGAAAATTATACTTAATTATGCCCAAAACACCTAAATACCTATTAAAATCTATATCTGAAAATTATTAACTTTTTATTAGCTTTTAAAGAAGAACCTACAAAAAGCACGAACATGTTTAAACTTTTAAACTGTCAAAGTTAGGTGAGATCTTAAAGGTAGGTAAAATATTGTATTTGACGTCTATAGGTTAGGTTATAATAATTATTACATATCAATTTATCAATTTATTAAGTTATATTGTGAATCGAATAAAACAATAAACTAACGTCAATATCTGATTGAGTAAACGTTTCTGGATCAACACCCATCATGTTAGCTAAATGACGTTTTCCAACATTGTATTCATGTGTTTGCTGTTCCATAAAGCTATCTGAAATATGAAATTGTAATACAAATTTATCTCATACAAAATTATGACCATAAAGCATTTTTCAAAGTTTGGATTAGTAAAAATTCAATTTTCAATTTGTACAATAACTAATTCTCAAGATTGAAAATTTGACCTGTGAGTATAATTAAAAATTCCAAAAATCAGATTTTCAATAACTAATTCTAACAAATAATTTCACTTAAAAAAGGGGTGAGCATGCTTGGTGAATCAATCTGTAAATTAACATAAAATCATGGAAATTCAGCATAATTTTAGTAAATTGTTGTGTTCAAGCCATTATTGAGTATTGCTTTCAATGACTTTAAGTATAAAGAATTATTTTTTTTTATTATTACAAAAGGAGGTTAGTTAATAATTTACAATCTGTATTTATAGTAAATAGTAATACAATAAGCCAATTAGATAAAATGAAAACAAATGGTAAATAGTAGGACCGGAGAGGTGAGATACCCATGGACAGCACCCTAGGTAAGATTTAAAAATGAAATTAATGTTTATGTTTGTAGAAACGACTGAAAAATAACATTTCTTTTCAATATTAATTAAACATTGTTTAAAAAAATATAATTATAAATAGTTTTTGTACTGAAAAATCAGAAGTTTTATATACCTATATAATAATTTCAATAATATTACTTACTATATTGTGTAGCTCTTTGAAGATATGCTCGCATAGCTAAACTAGTTTTTTCTTCTACAATTTTCTTTTCAATAATTTCAACATCTGGGTCATCACTCCCTACATTATTTAAACCATATGAACATCTAGGTACCTAAAATATAAATACTAAGCTATATAAATGATTACACCACTGAAGAGTGAAAATATCATGTAATAATATAACCATAAATGTATAGGTATATAAATATGGACACAGCCATGCAAAAAAGTAACATTATTATATTTTTAAATCTGTATAACTGTATCTATGATTAAAATTAAAAAATTAAATATATTAATTTTCATTTGGCCACTTTTTGCACTATGACATTGATGTGTTTAATATACAAACATTTTGAAAAATAAGAAATAATCACTTACAAAATTTGACAATAGTTTTGGAGTATTTAATTTGCTTGTAGCTAGATTATTAAATAAACGTTGCAATGCCATCATGTTGAGATCGTACTAAATAAATACTTGATTTCTAAATTAAACTAATTATGGGCGTAAGAAAGATACATAATTAAAAATGGAAAATTAATTTTACTAAAAGAAATAAAAATTGATCAACAACTGAACTCATCGAAGTTAAAACATAAATTTCCAATAAAAAATCCTCATGTACTAAGGTCTAAGACTTTTTTTTATAACTATCTCTATGGAGTATGGACCAGCAGCTATACTGCAATAGTGCAATGTAGTGTGATTTGCCGGAAGGCTTATCAATTGTTATCATTTCATGCTCTGTGATATCCATAGAGTGATATCACTGAAGTATCATGATTATAATATTACAGACACGAACTTTTGGTGGGTATTTAATTTTAAGGAACTAGAATTTTTTTAATGCTCATTTTCTCATTTTTCTGTACTATCTACCAAAAATTTATTTTTAAAATAAGTAAGCATTTTGTTGTGAAATAGAAAGATCATTGTTTTAATCTTTCAATATTTCTTATGAACCACATTTTTAGTATCTTTAAATAGGTACCTATCGTAAAAATGTATTGAGATTTAATTTCAATTACTATTATTCAATTAGTGTTAATATAAGTAAAATAATTAATATACGAAAATGTCACAAGGATATACTGAAGATTATAAAATGAAAAAGTCTCCAGTGAAAAAGGTACGTACAATACTACAATATTTTACGTATTGAATATTAATATTCATTAATTCCAATGATTTATAAATAATTCAATTAGGTAAAAGATGATCGTAAACAATTTGGTTCCAAACGATTACCAATAGTTCTAGCCAAACGTGATGGGTCTATCGAACGAATTCAAGAGCCTGAAAAGTGTCATTCTCAACCAACAATATTAATTAAGCCTCGAGATACAGAAAATAGATCTTTGTCACCTACTCAGAAGTGCATTCCTCAAACCATGTAAATATTTGTATTTATCATTTTTTATTTGTCCTATCCACCATCCTAAATTGTGTTTTTATTTTTCAACATATTTTGTCCATTGCATTTGCTTTGCTCCAAATCTAAAATTGCTAAATGCTAAACGGTTTAAAATTATCCCACATTATACCGCACCAGGTAAACCAAGTAAATTATATAGTCCAAACATCCTGGTGTATTTTATTATATATTTTTTCACATCGGTTTAGCCTAGCGAATTCCTAGCAATTTTAGATTTTGGGTAAAGCAGGGTAGGTGCCAATTATTTTTTTTTTTAACTAACCATCTATGTTAATGTTTTAGTATTAAGAAGGAAGAACCTTATCAGCCATGCTTACAAAAATCAGGAAATGAAGGTAAATCGGGAGGTTAATTATTTACTTTTTGCTTTTATAAAACTATATAATAACCATCTATTATTAGAACAAGTACAACCTCAGACAGATATGAAAGCCCCAGTTAAAGTGATTGATGATTATATGCAATTTATCAATGAAGGTTTAAGTAATTGTTTACTTGACCAGACGGATTTCTTAGTTATTGGCTGTCTGGGTTTACAAGGTGTTGGAAAATCTACACTTATGTCTGATATTGCGAACAAGTAAATGTTTTTTTTATACATTAATGTTATTGTTTTTTCTTAAAGGGATTCGATACTGTGATTTTCTGTTTTTGCCTAACACACGCGCGACATAGTATTTTAGACGTGTTTTTTGCCAAACATACCAATTGATCTAATGAAGCCATAAGAATTCTGAAAACAGATTTGAATTTGTCGTCAAGTCTACTTGAAATTGACTTTCCCACATTTTTGATATTATCCCCCAAATTTTTTAAAATATCATTCAAAAAGAGTATTTAAAAATTCTGGTATTTCAATTTTTGGAGAAGTTAAAATCAAAAAATTAAAAATGTGGGAAAGTCAATTTCAAGTAGACTTGACGACAAATTCAAATCTGTTTTCAGAAATCTTATCGCTTCAATAGATCAATTGGAATGTTTGGCAAAAAACACGTCTAAAATACTATGTCGCGAGTGTGTTAGGCAAAAACAGAAAATCACAGTATCGAATCCCCTTAACTATTTAAAAATATGTTAATGTACCTACATTTATATTTAATTTTCAGGCCAAATTTATTTGCTACTTCTACATCTGAATATCTAGAAACTACACAAAACTGCACCGCTGGTATTGATGCATATATAACTAAAAATAGAATTATTTTATTGGACTGTCAACCAATATTATCATCATCCGTTGCCTATTCAGCTAGCCATAAGCGAATGGGTCAATCTATAGATCAATCGGGCTTACTAGTTGATAATGAAATGATTTCCTTGCAGTTGGCTGCATTTTTATTATCAGTCTGCCACGTAGTGTTATTGGTGCAAGATTGGTTTTTCGATCCAAATATATTTAAGTGAGTTAGTTATTTAACTAGTGTCTAGTTGTTTATTAAAATAAATATTTCATTGTTTCTAGAATATTGCAAACAGCAGAAATGTTAAAACCGGCAATGCCTACTTCCCATCGCAATGAGGAATTAGTAGAATATTTTCCTCATATTGTATTTGTACAAAACAAATCATTTTACTCTGATTTCAGTATTGAGCATATTAAAACAGTGCAAGTATGAATTAAATATTTAAACATGGTTAAAAATTAGTTAAAAAAAAAAAAATTTCAGCACGTTTATTCACAATTATTTGCACGATCTCGTCTTCATATCCAAAGTGGAATCAGTATTGCAAATGGCAATGTTATAAGTGAATTAAACCCATTTAATTGTGGTGAACCAATTAATTTGTTTGTCTTAGCTAACAGTGAAAAGGATAATAACTCTGGTATGTTTTTGAAAAATCTGTATTCTATAATAATTTGTATTAATTTTGTTTATCTAGTTTTTATATCTTGAAACTAGTTTTTGATGTTTTAATCTGCAATTGTACAATATCTTTTACTACAAGATTATTATTGATAAGTGTTTATATTTTTTTATAATGTATGTATGGTTAAAAGAGAATATTATATAGGTGTATAATACTCTATATTAATACTTAGTAGTTAATAAATAATAAGTATTGCATTATTTTCTAGAAAAGAATGGTTATCATAAAATGCATCCAGGTCAACCAATTTTGATGCAAGAATTCAGAAAACAACTACTAGGCTTACCGATATCACCTCTCACACATAACCAATTAACAGAAAAAACATGGTAAGTTGGAACTAGCTATTCAAAGATATTTGAAGTTTAATTATTTAATTAAGAAGTTCCCAACCTTTTTTGACTCACGGCACTCTTAGTCATTTTCTAAACCTCCGGAGGCACCCTATATATTTGTCCCTTTATACCCAATATATTTCAAATAATTTTGTGGAACCTTAAATAAAGTTTGTGGCACCATGGTTGAAAACCTCCAATTTAATTACTTGTTCAATTTGTTCTCTATTAATGATGAAAATGTTTTAAAGATATCAGAAAGTATCTTCATAAGTTGTTCTTGCCAATATTAAAAATAGCTACAATTTTTTTAAAAATAAGCATTTCAATTTTGATAAAAAAGTTAAATTTCACTCGAATTTTAAATAACAACTATTTATCCTTAAATTATTTATTTATATAAAATAATAAATATTAATATTTAAAAATACTCATAACTTGTTAAAAATTGAAATATTTTAAAACCAATGATAGAAAAGAATGTTTTTCCTTCGCGTTGGATTTTTGATAATAGGTAATACTTTATTATTAAGGACAGTGGCGTAGCCAAAGGGGGCTATAGGATATAGCCTTCACCTCCCATTGACCTTAGAATTTTATCAAGATTGATAAAAAAATAAAAAGTGTAAATAAAAGCCCTACAATATTCCTGGCAACTCCACTGATTGAGGATAACACAAAATTGGAACTAATGAACATAAAATAGCTATATTGCCCTTTTGCAAAAAAGTGACTATCATGTATTCATGTCAATATATAAAAATTGTTTTTGCAAAAAATAATTCAAACTACTAATAGAATAATATAAATAAACTATAATTTTTCTATTACCAAAATTGTTTTTCGTATGCAATAATTTACCATTTGATTCTAAACGAACTCACTAAATACAGTGACCAACTAAACGATAAGGTTCACTTAAAACATACTAAATATAACAGAGCTTCTTTTAAAATTTTTATACTTTCTAACTGTACTTATTGTATCTACTAGACAATTGCATTTAGGATTGTATAAAAAAAAGTTCCATACATTTTTTTGATTCAAAGTACTTATATTTATTGTATTTATCTATACATTTTATAGTATAGAAATTAGAAACCAAAATTAATATTACTACTACAATTAAAAAACTATTATTCAATCTAAAATCTTCAGACTTAAGTAGTTATAAGACAAATATTGAAAGTTTTCAATTATAACTAAAAAATGCATAGAATATATTGTGTAACTTAATTAATTGTAAACTTATTTGTATAACTTATTAAGATTTAATATTTTTACAGGTTTCACTATTGTGCCAAAGTATGGGATTTAATAAAAAAAAGTCAATTCTTTAATGAGTATAATAGACTTCATACATAATTTTTCATACAATTTAATGTTTTTATCTAAAAGATGAACATAATATAAATAATTACTAAAAAGTGTAATGTATATATATTTATTACATAATAAAGTATTATTATTATAGTTTGTTACAAAAAATGTATTTTAATTTAAACCTTTATAGCTTTTAGCTTACGATTAAGCTCTTCAAATTTCAATACTTTTCTAATGAAGAAATCCCCATAACGATGAGCAACCTTGGTATCTGCTATGTGTATCATATCACGATCAATATAAAAGTCCAACTAGAATTTATAAATTTCCCATTAGTTATAATTATATAATTTTTTAATAAAGCTAAGACAATGATCTAACCTCAGATCCTGAATGAAAGTATCCATCTAATCCAGATGCACCTTTATTCCATACAATATTCTTCATTTTGTGTTTGAAACACAATAAATGTTTAGTCAAATTTTCTTTGTCATCGGTAGGTTCATTACCTTCGTGTTGACCTTGTTGTCCTTGTGCCATAAATGTCACCAATTTATTAATTGGCAGAGTTGTGTATAATTTCAAATAACTATAACAAGAATAATGTATTCAAGGTAATTAAAAAATATTTTTTAATATAAAGAAATAATAAAGAAATTAATTTGGCAAAAGTTGAAAAAACCATACAGTTTGGTAATACCTGCGAATTGTAGGCAACATTTTTTGTTGTTTAACTTCAGACATAAAAACTGAGGTTTGATATTTCACTGCTTCTTTAACTGAATCTTCAGCTGGGTCCATTGATAAGAATTTAGGACAAGCCAGTTGGAAACAATTTTCAAACTCTTGTAAATCACCGTATTGCATTTTAAACATCCTGTCAGTGTAGTTCTTTTCACGTAATACTTGCTGGATTGATTCATCAACGCACTGTGGATGTAAAACTAAACACATAGCTAATAATGTGTACATCTGATCAGTCTGTTTGTTAATCTAGAAATAATATAAAAAATTAAGAAACAATATAGTTAGTTAATATAGTGCTAGATAGTACTTGATCATTCTGGTATGTGCGAGTCTGGAAAAGCTGCTTTGTTCTTTGAATGTACAACAAAATTGAACTAAATGTACGAATCGCATCAGAATAGCGACGCATCATCATGTAAGCAAATCCAACATAGTATGCTGTAGAAATGTGACATGCTGGTACAGAACTATATGCGTTCTATAAGTTATAATTAAAATTTTATTATAGATCTTTGTTTAAATAAATGTATAGCAGTATACCTTTTTATGCATATCAATGTTTTCCAAAACCTTAATGGCTAAATAATAATCTCCAAAAAGGCTATGTAAGCGCAACAGTCCAATCATTGAATAATAACCCAACATTTTATATAGAGAATGACGGCCAAATTCTCCAGCTACAGAATCTGGATCTCCCCCACTTGCAGTAACTTCCAATTGCAGTTTGATATTGGATTTATTAATAAACGAATGCAGAACGTTTAAAACCAACAAGACATTCCATACTTCATTATTTGAAGCAAGCATATCAATTTCTTCTTGAGTTTTCCGACTTCGAGACCGAAATTGGGTAAAGGATTGGAATTGATACACAAACTCATCAACAAGCTCCCATAACCATTGTTCGGGTAATTCTAATGGTACCGGAGTCTCACAAGCTGTAAATAATAATTATAAACCAACTTGTTTTATTTAATAATTTGAATAGACAAAATTGACTTACTAAAGATATAATTGAATAGATCACAGTAATTGTAAAATGATCCAAAACGCTGTTTTGTTGAAGGTCCATTTGGTACACGAGCAAAAATATGTCGATAGTACAGTTCTTTGTACAGCATTAAGAATGTCTGAAAATTAATTTTATTTTAGGCAATAGGTTTATTATTAATAATTACTTTTATAGTACTTTATCATCATCCATAATGGTGCGGACTTCCTTATCGCTAGGCCATGGAGCTTTGTCAAAAAATTGATCGGATAGTTTTGGAAACCTTGATATTACAAATGTGTGTATTAAGTTAAAAACTATGACATTATGTAGAAGCAATATTTAAACAATAACATACGTATTTTCATATAAATTTTGCATTTCATACACCATTCCTTCATTAATGGCGTTTCTGAAGTAGAGTAAAAATTTCTTGATAATATCAGGCATTTTAGGCTCATAAGGATCGGCATCGCTGTATCTGTCTTCATTATAATTATTGTAGTAGGTGTCACCTTCGTATTCTGTCTATAAATATTAACAAATAAATAAATTTACAAAAACAGGACATTATTTAAGTCTAACAAAGTATTGATTTGTACCTGATCGTATTCCATAGCTTGATTGTTATTCAGATCAACAAAAAACGAATATAAGGATCGGGTAGGTTCTGATCTCGTAAAAATGCAGATTTCCTTACCTAAGAAATTCTACAGTAATTTTAGAAATTGAAAAGAGTAAATAATTTAATAATTATACTAAATACTGAAAACCGTAAAATGTCAATTGACAACATAACACCAAATATGCTTAACCTAAAAATATTCGTCATGGATGCCATGAAGGTGGTGTGATATTTTCTACCATGGTTGGAAATGTTTGTGTTGTTGGTTGTTTGGCTGTTACCATTGTTGATGTGTGATAAAAACTTGAATTACAAGCAAAGCAAAAGAAATGTCGGCATGTCCCTAAACTCGCGTACTGGGCACTGGCTTGAGTAGCAATTTCGGTTTCCAAAGTCTGAACTTTGAAGTCTGATTGTCTGGTTTACTGTTTAGTGACTTAAGTATACTTCAATACTTGTAACTTGTCTATGCTGGCGACTAACGACTTCAACTGTATCACTGAAAAACTAAATATTTTAGCTACCCGGGTCCAATCCTGAATTATAGTGAGTAAATCGATTATATAAAAGTTATTAATATATTACTGTGTGCCTACAATAAATATTTATTGTTTTTTGTGACAACCTTCTATCTATATGAATATATGATAGGTCTTAGTTATTAGATAATATCATACTTATACAGTTCAGACTCCTAACTAACGTCTTCTGTTAACTAGTCAGTAATGCTTTTACCAACAAATTATACATATTTTCCCATGATCCAATTGTAATGTCTGTGATTTATTAATTATTCAATGGAACAAATCTAGTTTAGCGCCTCCTCGAAATTTTTATTTTTTTATTTTGAAACCTAATATGTAATTCAACGAGTTTAGAACGATGGTGCAAAAATAAATTTTAGGAAATGATTAGTTTTAAAGTTATAGACTGGCGAAATTCACGATTTTCGGTGTTTTACGCATGCTCGCCAAGCTCTCTTTTAACACTCTTATAACGAATTTTGAAATTATTTTTTTCGGAAACATATGTTTAAAAACGAGTTTAAAGCAATAGTGCAAAAATAAATTTGCGAAAAAGTTTTTTTGCAAGTTATAGCATTCCAAAGTTTGCGATTTTACGTTTATACTCATATGCGCGTAAAAAAAATGCATTTTTGTTGCACAGAGTCACCTAGAGTTGTCACTCGATCGTTGCTCTCGCTTAGACAATTAAAAACTAAAACAAAAAAATAAAAATATTATGGTTACAAATTATTTTATAATATTGTTAGATTAAGAATATATTTTTATTAAATCACTATTTCCCACACAATATTCACACTTCGTCTCTCTCCTTGCCCTGAGGTATCTATTTACGGCACTCAAATTCCTACTTTTTCTACAGTCAATTATCTAGGACTTAGACTTGATCGCAGACTTACCTGGGCTCCCCACCTTAGATCTAAAAGACAAAATTTAAACCTACACCGGAGCCTGTTAAAAACTTTTTGCAATAACAACAAATACACACATTAAAACTAAACTCCTAATTTACAAATCTCTAATTAAGCCCATCTGGACATATGGCATACAACTCTGGGGTAATGCAAAAATATCTAACGTCATCAAAATACAAACCTTCCAAAACATATCGCTAAGGAAACTACTTAATGCTCCACCTTATGTCTCCAAACTTTCCATTCAGCAAGATCTCAGAATGAACTCCGTCAAAGATGAAGCAAAACTCTACTATAAGCGGTTTCACAGTAGGTTACTTAATCATCCCAAATTCCCAACCCTCTTATAAAAAATCTAGCTGTCCCTTTGATTCCGGGTAACCCCATACAGACATCTCAAACGTAATTGGTGTCGGACCTGCTAGATGCTTCAATCCTAGTTCAAATCCTCCTACTAAACTCTAAACAAAATAGGTAGTGTCATCATTGGGTGGCTTCTTCTGTCATATGAGGTACTCATGTTTTTTATAACTCTTATCTAATTTGCTAATTGTTCTCTGAATAGATTGTAAATATCTTGTAAAAATAAAAAAAAAATAAATCACTATTTTAACGGTCTTATAATGTGGGCAGTGATTATTACTCAGTTGGCGGCACTTGTCGCTGCGCTGCGCTCTGAAAATCGAAAATATCCCCCGATTTGGTATGCAATACCACCTTAGGTAGGTTGCAGGGTAAGTTATGTCGTAGTTAGCAGCACTATGTTTCCAAAAAAAATAATTTAAAAATGCGTTAAAATAGAGTGTTGCGAGCATGAGTAAAACACCGAAAATCGTGCTATAACTTCAAAACTAATCATTTCCGAAAATATATTTTTGCAATATTGTTTTAAACTTGTCGAATTACATAGGTTTCAAATAAAAAAATAAAAATGTTGAGGAAGCTCTAAATTAGATTTATACCTATTCAATTACTAGGTATGAAAATACATTTTTAAAATTTGATAGGTAAAGTAATGTTATGACTCATAGTTTTGTTCAAAATAGACAAATCATTTTACTTGTTATTTTACATCTTTGGATCTTGGTCTATCTAAATTCTGCTATATTAAACGATCATTATATATATTATAATTAACTTTCATTAATCAGTATCATTATCGTAATTTATCTTTATTAGAAATCTCCATTTTATTGATTCATTAATAGTTATAGCAAAAGGACAAAATACTAAATAGTTCCAGTCAATCATTTTCACAGTTTTTTATGCTCTACATATTTGAGATCATGCATTTGGAATGAATCATTTTATCACTTATCAGTATCTAAAACTAAGTAATCAGTGTTTTCTACAATTAATACTTACACAATGTATTTAAATACTTTAAACTTTAAAAATATACTAAACATTTGTATTTTTATGATTGAATTATAGAACTGTCTTATTTGGAAATATGGCGCTTCCGTCAACATACAAACAGATAGCTATAAATCAACAGTCTCCTGCTCGTAAGTGTTTAATTAACCTGATATAACTTTATTTTACTCAAATACATAATAATTTGTTGCATATATTATTGTATTATATCATTATATGTTTAGTTTAGTTATTATTAGTGTTATTATTTACCTATATTTAAATGTTTGTATATGTAGGTAGATTGTAGATAGGTGTTTTTTTATAAAATTAATATTGTAATACTATCATAATTATTCAGACTTTTTTGTATGCATTATACAGTGTATGAAGATTCCTCAACTTATTTGAAGAAAAAAATATTTAGGATACATACCTACAATGCTAACATTTTTACGCCCTTTATGTTTTTATTTGTTGTTATAATAATCTACTGTTTGTATTTCATAATCTAGAACTGAAACGTGGAATCAGTTTCTAAACTAATGTAGCTATACAAGGTATACTATACAAGGTAATTCACCAAGCATGCTCACCCCCATTTTTCCTTTAATAATGAATTTATACGAATTCTGATTTTTGAAATTTATAAATAGACTCAAAGGGCCATATTATTATTTTAAAATATTTGATTTTTTTTGTTCTACTTCAAGAATATCCTGGGATACAACCTTTCGTTTTTCAAATGACTACCCCCCCCCCCCCTTTTTATTGTTAATTATTTAGTGGTTAATTTTTTTAAACCTTTTGATGTATTTAAATTTGAATGAGTAGTTTCTTAGTTAGGTATTAAAATGTTTGTATTAAGGATAATAGTCCTTAAAAATGGTTTTACATAAAAATAAAATAGATATAAAACTTGACATAGTATTTATTTTACTAGGGCCATTTAACAAATTATTAATATTGATGTTTAATTACTACAGTTTTCAAATCACCATAGCCCCCCATAAATTGTAAACCCATTATACCATGGACCTTTAATCCTTAGAACATAAATTTGAACAACTCAAACTAACTACCCGTACAAATTTTGATTCTGATACCTACAATTTCGGAAAAACTATCCACTGTATAATTTACAGTTAAAAAATGTGTTCTTCTCATTTTAAAAACAGAAGTTTGTATCTCCATAGGACACTCATCAATTAGTAAAAAAAAATATCAACATTTTGAACATAATATGGTCTTAAAGTATATTTAAATTTTCCAATAATCAGATTTTCAATAACTGAATTATTGAAGAAAAAATAGGGTGAGCATGCTTGGTGAATCACCCTGTATATTGAGTATTAAACTAATATATTTGTTTTATGTAAATAATTACTTAACATATAAAGTTTATATGATATATATATATATGTTAGTAAACCAATAACTTCATTGATCACCCATTGCCATAAAACTATCATTCAATATTTATATGATACAGCTTCACATTATGAAATTATATATTAAGGTTTCCATTTACAAATCTATAGTATATCATAGTTTGTTTTTCCAATAAACATATAGACAGTATAAAATATTAGAATTGTATGTAGGTACCTACCTCTAATTTTATAAAAATAAAATATAAGTATTCAAAAAAAAAGTAAATGCATGTCAATATAATGTGATTGCTTTTTAAGAAATCGCCCTGTATTTATTTTATGTGAGCATGATTATAATACCTACAAAAAAAAAATAAACCTTTATACAAGTTTAGTCACACTATAAATTATGAATTAAGTTAATAAATTATGGAAACTATAAATTTGATTTCTTTACTCATTTACTGTCAAAAAATAGTTTACTGTTAGAAACTTTGTATTATTTAGTTGGCAGCTATAGTTCGTTCAGCAACCCTGAGAGTATAATTTAGAATCTAAATTTGAGTAAAATTAACAATTTATAACAGATCAAAGTATATGATGAACCACTATGGCCAAATCCCTGAATTTCTAAATCCAATGATCAACTAATTTTACCAAAATCTGGTGAAAAGCTGTATATTATCAGATATTGATAGCATGAAATCAAAATATATATTATTTATTTTTGATAGAAGGACGGTATTAACAGAAATTATAAACATTATTTAAATTATCTAAAAAAACTGATGTCATTAATGTCGGTTCATGCTGATATTCTATTAAATTTATTAGGCTACAATTATATATAATACATTTTTACAAACATAAAACTTATATCATATATAAGTATATAACATATTATGACTTATAATATATTATTTATAGATTCTATGTTTGAGTCTGCAATTTTGCATGTATTATAGTCTTATTCTACTTTTAGTTAGATTTTTTTTATATTCTTGGATTTGAGCTTGTAAAATGTGTGCCCACAGGTGCTCCAGTCACATTCAACATTTTGAAAGGTAAATTGTATATGTTATAAATTATTTTCTAAAGACACATCAAGTTTAAGATGCACTCATTTTTGCACACATGCCAAAAATCACAATATTTACAAAAATATTTTTCACTGTTATTTTTGGTATTTAAAGAAGAGTACCCACATTGAATTACATCTTCATTTTTCCAAATGTTAATTATATATGTTGCATATGTGTACAAGGTTTTTAAATAATACCTAATTTTAATTAGCTATACCTAAATATAAGTTTCTTATTTAGTTTTTCTTTGGTGAAATTAAATTTCTCTTTTATTTAACATGCTAAAATATACATTTATAAATCTCTTGATATTTGAAAATATTGATTGATATATTTCATAGAATTTGGAACTGTAAAAAACATGATTATTGATTATCTTAATTAAAAAAAGCTTTATTACTTAAAATATTATTTTTTTTTTTGTATTTTTCTTCAAAAGCCTTGTATAACTATGTTTTATTTTTTAAATGTATACAGCTAATATATTCAACATTTTTTTGTGGCAAGAAGTACGGTGGTGGATATAAATCAGTGCACGATTAAAAAATTTCAATTGTTACAAGACTATTTGGCTTCAATTTTAATTATTTTAATAAATATGTTTAATAAGGGTATACACTTTTTATTGCATAAAATAATTAAAATCTAAACTCTAAAATGTTCTTCTATCCTTTTCTGTTTTTTTTTATATTTAATTCAAGTATTTTTTATTTAATTCTTCTTTGTAATTAATGTGAGCAAAAATAATGTTTTAAAATGAACTATTAGTGAGGATATTTTACCTCAAAACAAATAATACAATGTGTGAATAGTTTCCTAATTTTTTCAGCGACTAAAACGGGATCCTATCAAAATGGTTAGTAAGTCTTATTTACTTATTTAATTTATTCTGTTACTAAAATGCATGACCTTTCTTAGATACTTATTTAGATAGAAAAGTAGGTACACCTACAAACTTTTCTTTTAAATTGTTTAGAAACAAGTGATATTAAAAAAATATACAAATGAATCAACTTCAAATATACATTTTCTCTTCAAACAAAATAATTAGTTACCTTAATAATTTATTACCTATATATATATTACTATATTAATTTATAGTTAAAAACATTTTTTTAGCATCACTTGTTGATTATTGTGCTTTATGTATTAAGAATTAATCTTAGTACTAGACTTGAATTAAAAGCATGTTTTTTTAATAATTTAATGTTATCAGCATGTAATAGCATGCACTACTATGTTAATTGTATTAATATCACTTAACAATTAACAATAATTTCTATATTAATCACCTTAGAATGATTAGTTCAGCATTAGTTTTTTTTATAAATTACATAATTTTTAACATACAGCAAAAGTCTTTAATGAAATGTTGTTTAATTAATTAATATGATTATAATGATTTTATTCATTGTTCACTATTTTTTACATTCAAAATAGAAATTGAAAAATTTGTTTTATCTTAACAATTAAAATTTAACTAAATCTGCTATACTAAAATGTAACTTTTTTTTGGTGTACATTCCTTGAACAATAATGATTTGAATTAAATTATGTTTTATTTAAGTTATATCATGATTAAAAACTATATATATTATTCTTTTTTTTGGTGTAAAAACTATATTATAGCTAATGATAGTTTTTTTTTCTTGCATCAATTCAAAGGTTTTTAGCTAAATTAATTATTTATCCCAACAAATTGTAAATATAATAATTTGTGTCAGAGATTTATTTATGAATAACAATTTAGTATTTATCAAATTAAAAGATAACTGGTCAAGTTTTAATTAATAAATAGATTACATACCTAACATATTACTTATATTACAGAACGTTTAAGACCTGGTGGAAGTTCCAACCAATTATCTGGATCCGTAAGTATTTGTTTATTTAATATAACATATTTTTAGATAGTAAATACATTGTGCACCAAAGGCAAAATTAATCGGGAAAGAGGTCTCTATGTTTTGTTATGAAATAATTGTGTCTGTAATATGTTTTTAATAAATTATGTGGGTAGAAAGGAAAGACTGCTCACAATTAAAAGTATCCCCCCCCCTATTGAAACATATATGCCAAAGTTGGGCACAAAAAAAAATACAGTCAATATTTAACTTAAGATATTATTAAAAAACTTATTTGTTGAATAGATGTAACTTAAATTTGTATCGTATCAACTGACTTTCTTCTTCTGTTGTAATAGAAAATAAATAACAGTAGATGCTAGAAATTTTCTTTTTCTCAGATATTGATACAAAATAATTTGTTGGGTCAAAAAGCTTGCAAACTTAATACAAGGTTCCTTGTAAGTTTTTATAATAGCAGTTTAAATGTATTAAAGATGAGATGGACACATTTTTATTAGCGATTATAGTTCAAATGTTGACACAATTCATCAAAATCAGATCTCGAAAATGTGTTAATTATTTTGTTTAAAAGAATTATAAAATGTTTATACTCATCTTAATTGATATTTAAATAAGTAAATATTTTTATAATGAACTTTATACTCATAGAAAGATCAAAATCAAAGTCCATTCATTCCAAATAGCCATGGAAATCCAGCATTTCATCCACAAAAAATATCAAAAGCTGCTGTAAGAAATTTTCTCATTTCCTTGTATAGTTTTATTTTTTCATTAATCTATCCCATATGTAAATAATTTTAAAGGCTGATGCTCGTGGTATTAAACCTCCCAAGCCACCAGAAAAACCTCTCATGCCATACATGCGATACAGTCGCAAAGTTTGGGATCAGGTCAAGGCAGGTAATCCTGATTTGAAGTTATGGGAAATTGGTAAAATTATTGGACAAATGTGGAGGGATCTTCCCGATGAAAACAAACAAGAATACATTGATGATTATGAATCAGAAAAGGTACTAAATAATTGTTAAAATTCTATTTTTAATTTTAATAACTTATTTTTAATATTTATATATTAAAGTTGACCTATGAAAAAGCTATGAAGTTATATCATACCTCACCAGCATATTTAGCCTATTTACAAGCAAAAAATAAAGGTAAATTAAATCAAGTAGAAGATAGAGAACCACATGAAAGATCAACAGGAGGTGGTAAACAAGCTGCTGCAGATCGAAGAATTGAAATACAACCAGCAGAAGATGAAGAAGGTATGTTCAAACAATATAAATTGTTAAAGTAATATTATTGATTATTTCCCTATACATTATTATTTAATATTTTAGATCAAGATGATGGATTCAGTGTTAAGCATGTAGCTTATGCAAGATATATAAGAAATCATAGATTGATTAATGAAATATTTTCTGATAGTGTTGTCCCCGATGTACGTTCAGTGGTCACTACTGCTCGTATGCAAGTTTTAAAGAGACAGGTTCAAAGTTTAACTATGCACCAGGTATAAAATTATAAATAATTAACTAATCATATTGATTTTTAAAAATTGATTTATAATTTTAGAAAAAATTGGAAGCAGAATTACAACAAATTGAAGAAAAATTTGATACTAAAAAAAGAAAATTTATTGAATGTAGTGACACATTCCAACAAGAACTAAAAAAAGTATTATTATTACATTTACAATCTAATATCTTATGTTTAATTGTGTAATACATATATTGATTAATGATATTAACCCTTAGTGGTGTATTTATGTTAGTTAAAAAATTGAAAACACATACACCGCTGTTAAAACAATCTTACACTATAAATGTAAATTTATTGTTTATGTACTTTTTAAGCACTGTGTTCAAGCAGTATCAGAAGAAGCATTTCAAAAAATGGTAGAACGCCAGGTTGAGATACTGCAAAAAGAACGAACTAAAACTGTGGGCACGCCAGGACCCCCTGAAGAATTTTCTAAAGTACATTGTGAACAGCAGTTGGAACAAAATGGAGCTGTACCATCAGTTGAGGAAGATACTTCATCATGTGTGGTTCCTTCTAGTACCACTGATGATAGTTCAAATATGGAAGTTGAGGTAAAATATTGTAATATTATTATATTCATTAACCTATAAGCTTTAGAGTTTGAGTGATGTATGGATGAATTTTACAACTATACATTTTTTTATCTGTTTGGGGAAGTAAAAATGCTTTGATTTTCAACTTTGATGGTGGTTTCTGGTATCAAAAAAATGGATCTAATTGATACTTAGTGGGTCAAAAATATAAAAATTCATTAGTACTTTTAAAAAATAACCAGGAAAAAAGAAATAAGGAAGAATAAGGATTTTTATGCAAAAACAATTTTCTTATTTTGTTGTAATTCAAAAAAAACTTGGGTCCATTATTATTTAATATTTTCATCAACACTGTCTATCCCATAATTGATCCATGTTGACTTCTTCTCTTTGCTGATGACGTTAAAGTCTTTTACAGGATTTCATCACATGACGACTGTTTAATTCGTCAGGCCACATTAAATAATTTTAATATACGGTGTAAAACTGTTGGATCATCTCTTAAGAGGACGACGTTACGGTGACATTTGTTGTCTCCGTCTTACAAGTGTGTAACATAGCAAATTGTACTCTCAGCAAAACACGTTTATCTCCCGTTAGTTTAAAAATTAGAGCGAATTGACCTCTTATAAAATTTAAAGGTAAGATTATTATCTAGACAATGGCATAGGCTTTTTATTATAATTTAATTTTAAAGCGAGTTATGTGTATTTTAAAATTGTTAACTGTTTATACATCTTAAAATACTCATAACTCACTTTAAAATTAAAATAAAATAAAAAGCCCATGTCATTGTCTAGATAATAATCTTGCCTTTAAATTTTATAAGAGGTCAATTCGCTCTAATTTTTAAACTAACGGGAGATAAACGTGTTTTTCTGAGCTTAAAATTTGCTATGTCACACACTTGTAAGACTGAAAAAACAAATGTGACGGCCCCTTAACATAGGAAAATGCAAAAAAAAATTACCACCAAATTATTTACAACTCTGCATTCGTGTTCCTGGTAATACTAGATTACAAGATTATTTTTACCCGCCAATATGCAAACGAATTATGCTAAAAATTCCCCAGTCATAGGAATGATGTTCATTACCAATAATAGTAAATCTCTAGTACCAAGGCTACATTAATGTTTGTATAATTATATTGTTACTTTTCAACTTTACTATCACTCTCATTAATTTACTATATTAAGTTCATCTATATACATATAATATGTTCTATTATATATCTTGTTTGTAAAAAATCCGTAAATTCATATAAATAAAAAAATAAAAAACAATAGATACTTGAAATTTTTACCAAAAAATGCCTTTTCTATACTTTATGTAATTTTCAAAATAATTAGATTATTAATAGCTATCTAGAGTGTAGACCATTTGACAATTTTTTGTTTTTTTAAATTTATGAAAATAAAATTTCTACTATGTAAATTTAATACAAAGTTCCTCATAAGTTATTAGTTAATAGTTAGTACTATAGCTATTTAAAAATATTAAATATAAATAGGTATGATTTTTCTTATAAATATTTGAAGTTCAAATATTGACAAAATTTCTAGCTTAAAATTTGGATAATAATAATTATTAATAATCAAAGATAATTTTATGTTTCTAACATTATTTAATTACTTCAAGAATCCTTAAATAGCAAATTATTAACCCTGTCTATTAAATCATTCTACATAATTTCAAATTTGTGATTACGTTGCATTAATTTATGTTCAATACTTCAATGTTCATTTATATATTTTGTCTTCTAATATTATGTTGATTGTTATATTAACGTAAATAATATTATATAGAAATACAAAATCAACATGTGACTGTCTTAGAAAAAATACAGATTAGGTTAATGTGTATGAGTAATTATTTTATATTTTTTTCTTATGTTTAGTCTGGTATAACTTCTGACAGTTCATCAAAATCTGAACAACTTGTATCAGAAACTAGAGAAAATGGAGAAATTGCAACTTCTCCACCACAACCCTCACATCAAACTCAATTATTGAAAGAACAGCAGCCAACACAAATTCCATCACAACAGCATTTACAATTCCAAGCACAACATGCTCCTCAATTCCAAGCACAATCACAATTTCAACAGCAACTATCACAAACACAACCTCTGCAGCCTCAGCCTTCTCAACAATCGCTACAGCCGCCTCAACAACAACTTTTACAGACACAGCCTTCATTACAGCAATTGCCACAAGCTCAGCCTTCATTACAGCAATTGCCACAAGCTCAGCCTTCATTACAGCAATTGCCACAAGCTCAGCCTTCATTACAGCAATTGCCACAAGCACAACCTTCATTACAGCAATTGTCACAAGCACAGCCTTCGTTACATCAATTGCCACAGACACAGCCTGATATACAGCAACTATTGCAGCCACAGAATTCGTTTCAGCAACTAACACAGCAACAACCACCAGAACAAGTTGCTCCACAACCACAGCCTCAACAACAACACTCTCCTCAACCACAGTTGCAGTCACTGAATCATCAACAACAACCTTTGCAATCAAATGTGTTACAACCACAAGCTCCACAGCAACAGTCTTTACAGCCACAAACTCCACAACAACAGTCTTTACAGCCTAATCCTCCTCAACAACAGTCTTTGCCACCAAACTCCCCTCAACAACAACATTTACAGCCAAGCTCTCCGCAACAACAACCTTTGCAGTCACATCCTCCTCAACAACAGCCTTTACAACCAAATCCTCCTCAACAACAGCCTTTACAGCCTAACCCTCCTCAACAACAACCTTTGCAGTCGCTTGTTCCACAGCAACAGCTTTTACAACCACATCCTCCCCAACAACAGCCTCTACAACCACATCCTCCCCAACAACATTCTTTACTGCCACATATCCCTCAGCAAAATTCTTTACAGACTCAACTTCAACAGCAGCCTCAAACTCCACAGCAACAGCCTTCTGTGCAACCATCATCAATTCCAACACCTCCTCAGCAACAATCTCCACAACCCCCACAGACACAACAATCACCCACCCCGCAGATACAACAATTGCAGACTCAACTTCCTCAACAATTACAAACCCAACAGCCACAAGTGCAAATATCACCACAGCCTCAATTGCAACCACCACAATCGCAATTGCAACAACCACAATCTCAACCACAGCCCCCTCCAGTCATGGTGCCACCACCACCTTCTATTCCACCAGCATTGGGATCAGATTCGCCTTCAAATGTTGTTTCATCAACTACAGAATCACCACCGAAATTACCAGAAACTAAAGCTTATTCTGCTCCTTCAACTCAACCATACCCACCATTATCACAGTCTTACACTCAAGGACCTTCATTTCAACTGTCACAGAACTCTCAAGTTAATGTTCCAAATGTATATCCACCAAATCAAGCTTCCTCTAATGCTGCTCCTCCACAACATCCACATTCAGGTATGATGCAGCCTCCTCAAATTCCTCCTCCATCATCTCAAGGAACACCGTCACCAACTCCGTCAACTGGATTTCCTCCATATCCACAACAGCAACCTTATTCATCTCAAGCAATGCCACCCAGGCCTTATACATACCCTCCACAACCGTATCCTCAGTATACGCCCCATCCATATTATCATCAAGCTCCTTATCAACAGTATCCGCCACCACCTCCACGCGTAGCATATCCTCAACAAATAGGTACTGTTAATCAAGATACAAATCAACCACCACTTGAAAATATGTATAATGCACCTTCAATTTCTGGACCATCTGAAACACCAAATGATGAAAATAAGCAATTAATTGATGAAGTGAAATCTACTGAACCAAACACAGGTAATTTAAAATGATGTATCACAAAATTTAAATAAAATCATAATTACTTTAACATACTTATAAATTAATTACCAGATTTTTTTGAATTTTACTATGTTTTAATTTTTAAATGTATTAAGATAATAGTGCATTATTTATTACTAACAATTAAACTACTTTCTATCAATATTTCAAAGTAAATAAATTTTTATCATTCTATTATCCTAAGTTACGTTTGTTTTATTTTAGATTCTGAGCAGAGTGATAAATGTATTGATTTTACAATGTGTGTTATTTTATTTTATTTTTTTTTTTGTCCGTCATCACCTTTTGAAGCAGTAAAACTGCTTTGGTTTTCTTCAACAGTATTTTTTTTTTTATGGGAAAGTGTATCTAGTTGCTACATTTGGGTGATCAAAATTTAAAATTCCCAATAATTTTAAAAAGAGCTTTAAAAAAAAAAAAACAAAATAAAAATTAAGGAAACTGGAATTTTTAAGCAAAATCGGTTTTTGAAAAATTTTGATATTATTTTTTGGTTTAACTCTGAAACAACTGACCATAGTTCACTGGTCGTGTATATTAGCATTTTCTATACACAATAACATTTTCAAAATATTTTGATATGTTTTGAACTGTTTATGGAGATTTTCAGTTAACAATTTTTTAGTTTTTCTTTTTCTAAATTTTATTTTTTGAGTAAAAAAGTTAAAATTGTAATACAAGGCTCCTTATATATTGTTACAATGACTTAAAAATAATAAAAATATTAAAAATCCAGACACAATTTTTTCTTGTTTTCTCATGTAGCGATTTTTTTATTTAGTTGTAACTCAAAAATTAACTTTAAATACATACAAATTTCACTGAATGTTTGTATTTTCATTTTCTATACACCAAAAAATTTTGAATTTATTTTTATTTACTTTGAGATGTTTACGGACAATTTCATTTTGATAGTTTCTCTTTCTATAAATGTCAATTATCATTGGATCAAAATGAAAATGTAAAATTAGGTTCCACGAAAAAAAAATTATTCTGTAACCAAACAAATCCTAAAAATAAACGCAGTTATTTAAGTTGAATTTTTTACTAAATTACATATTCAATAACCAAGAATAACGATTTTAGTTATTTTTTGTAATTTAATATTTATTAATATTAATTCAACTTACCGACTATCGTATTAATAATAAGTAAAGACCGGATTTATATTCTCTTAAAATACCCAAAATATGATGCTAATATTCTCTAAAAACCCTTCAAATATTCTCATTATATTCTCTCAAAAATTTAAAAAATATGCTAAAATATGCAAAAATAATCAAAAAACATCATTATATGCTTTAATATGCATTTATTTTTTAAAATTTTTTTCAACTATATTTTATAGTGAGATATTAATTAGGTATTAAGAGTTGCGTATTATACCTAATGGAATAGTATTGCATTTTAGCAAGATTAGGAAGTTGGAATATAATATAAATTTATTAAATATAACAGTATAATATTAAAACACAAAAACAAAATTTTGATATTTGAATATTTGATAAACTTATAAGTTGATCTTATCAGTAGATATACATAGATAAACCTTGATAATACTGCTTGTTTTATTTTTATCAAAATGAAAAAAAAATAAATAAATTGTAAATGGTCAAAAAATTTTTTCAGAGTACCGTAATATTAAAATTAAAAATAAATACAAATTTTTGCTCATAATTTACGAAATATTCCAAAATATGCTAAATGGGTTAAATATTCTCCAACCCATGAAATATTCTCAAATATGCAAAAAAAACTTTTTTCTACGCTTTCAGAATTGAACGAATCGTCCACATTTTTTACTCTCATAAGACTGCATAGACCCAGTAACGATATGTAAAAACATATAAATCCGGTCTTTAATAATAAGTAACAACAATATAAATATAATATAAAATATCCTAGACTAACAAACTGTCACCGCTAAGACTCGTTTTTCGTATACAATGATTTTAGATCATTGAATTAAAATTGAATACCATCTATGATACAGTGTCCCACCTATAACCTACTGTACAGCTGAGCGAAATCCACTTCCCCGCTTTTTTTATTATTATTATTATTTGAAATATAAGCTACATTTATGCCTATCCCTAGCATACATTGTTTATAGTTATTAGTTAATATTACTAAATTTGGTTTTAACATACCTACTGTATATTTTGTTCCATACAACATACTAGAAAAACCGGCAAGATTACTTCTTTAGATTAGATGTTAATTTTGATAAGTGAAATCTATAAGCGTTCTGCGTTATACAATATACTGTTTTAAAATTCATGTTACAGCATTATAAAAATAATATTCCGAGTAAAATAAAATATATTTTTGTTATGAATGTTTTTAAGAAATGTTTAATAGATTAGTAAGTTTCAACCTCAACGCTCAACTGTAAGTTTAATCCAAATTATGATTTAAATTTCATATATTAGATTATTCCAAAATTTCACGAATATATTATTCATATAGATTGGCTATTTATATTTTTACCAGGAAAATCTGTAAATATCTGTTGATTAACTGCTAAATATTTCTTCAAACATGTATTTTAGATCCAGAATAAAAATTAGGATTATATGATTTGTTTTTCCCTCAGAAATAAAAGAACATATTGAGATAGTATTTTAAAAGTTTTTCCCCTTGAGTAAATTATAGTTAAATTAATAGTAAAAATCTATTTATTTTTTTATTATTACATTTGTATGTCAATAGCTCACGAGAAACCGGCTGAACCAGAAGAAACAGTACCTCAACCATCTTCAGCAAAACTTGACGAAGTTTCACAATAATATATTTATGAGTACTAAATAATTTTATAACATTTTTTGTTATCTACTTTGTACTAAGTTTAAAAAAATAGCATTGATATTGTATCATAACTTTTATTGAAAGTATTTTCTTTTTATAATTATTAAGTCAGTTTAACAAAGAACATTTTTTTAGAATTAAAATATATTATGGGTAATGGTTTTAATACGCTAATTTTTTTCTTTTTTTTTTTAAACTTATTAGCTGTCCTGAAGTCTGTGTTAAATTTGTAACATTATTTTAGTAGCCCCAATTCTTTTGTAATTTCAAATAATGTATTTAAATATATATATATATATATATATATGTATACAATTGTTTTTAATCAAACATTTTGTACATAATAAGCATATAATTATCATTTTTTGGCAGGAATACAAATTTAATATTAGTGAACTGTAGAAGTTACAAGCATTTACATTAATGCAGTACAAAAATAAAATATATTAATATAATAGTAAATACTAAATAGTAATAAGTATATAAGATGATAATAGTAAGATAATAAATTCATACTACAATGGTATTTTACACAGAAATTACCAGTTTTAAAATGTATTTAAGTTTTAAATGTCTCTCCAGAAAAAATATATATTTTAAGTTAACAAATAAAATATTAATAATAAGTGAATACAAAATAAATAAATAAATTCACTGATTTATATTTTATTTTATTTCAGTCCCTTCACAATCACAATATTTTTATTTATGTATTTTTTTTACATGATAATACAACATTTACATTAAAAGCGATTTTACGCTTGTAGTGTTTACAAAAATATAACCTAGAAGGTAAATAATTTATTGTTATTGCACAATCATGTATAAATACAAATTTTATTTTACCAAATAAATCAATGAATGTATTAAAGAAGATAAAACAATATTTAACTTCAATAACCATTAAAATAAAAAGTTAAACAATATTCTTAAATGAAAGTTTCATATAGTCAACGTTCAGTTAAATTGAAAAAAAACTTCAATACATTTTAATTGTGCATACAATATATTATTTTATTAATTTTACCAATAAATAAATACAATTTTCAAATGACTTATTTATAAAAAAATAATTATTAATTAACAATAACCTGTATAATACTTAAAACTAAAATAATTATCAGAATAAAGTATTTAAATGAGTAAATATCCTAATTTAAACAAGTTGTACATGTCAAATAATAAACAATTAATTCTACAATTATTAACATTACAGTTGTTTTATTTTTATCAAAGATATTTGAATGTAAAATAATATATATATCTGCACTATTAATTTATAAATAATTACACTATGAATTGTTTAATTATGTACATCTTGAATAATAATGATTGTCATATTATGAGCAACTAAAAATTAAATCTGGAATGATGTGTCATAATAATATGTTAGTCAAAAACCTTCTTAAAATATACAGGACTAAGAGATTTAAATCTGAGCATAAGTTTTGCTAGATTAGTAAGCTGTGTTAAATATAATAGGTACTTGTACTTTTTATTTACCATAAATTATGGAGTTACGTTTACTAGACATCCAACGCATAAAAATACAAAATATAAGAATCATAGTTATAGTCAACAGTAGTAGAAGGCTAGCGATAATTGACAACTCAAGAAAACCCAAAATTGTTTGGGGAGGTGCACCTATTCCTACTAAAAAGGTCCTGAAAATAATAATGTTTTGTTAATAAATTACAATGAATAAATCAAAAATAAAATTATATAACTTACCAATAAGTATAATTAGATTTTGCATAAAATTCATCATTGGGCTGTCCAAAAGATACATTTATTGACTTCAAAAGAAGCTGAGAATTGTTACCAAATAATGAATTCCCGTACATGTTATATAAAGGAGTGTTAATCCAGTCATTTTCAAAGGGATGATCATGAACATCATACTGAATTGTGGAAGAAGAATTCAATGCATGTGTATTTTCTGCTTTATATATTACTGGTTTCCAACTTAGAAAACCACCTCCTTCCACATCTCCTTTTGCATTCAACAAATAGTTCTAAAATATTCACAAGATATCAGTAGATTAATTAGAGGATTTTAACTTTTGGTTCACTTGGTATTACAAATATATAACTTTGTAAGTTAAAATTTGACTTAATCAATAATTAATCTATGAGTTATATGATATCAAACTTAACAACAACAAAATTATTTATATCTTCACAAAAGTTTTTCTTTAATATTTGCATTACAACATAAGATATAATCCAAACGTAAAATAAAAATATACCATCTATATTTATTATTTATACAAATTGTTGAGTAAAAAATGTCAACAAGTCCCTAAACGAATCTACACATATATTCTACAATCCTGACAAATTCATTGAAAGAATAAATCCTATTGTAAAAATATGATGGGCTATAATTAAAAAATTTATTTTTAAAAAAAAAAAAAATATTATCTTCAATCAGGTATACGACCGTACATTATTCATCCTGTATAATATACTAACATAGTACATGGGAGTATACAACACTAATGACCCAATTACTCAATTTATCATATAATAATAATATGACTGTAGAAGGTGTTGAGCAAATGTAGCAATACAGAATAACATAAATGATAAATTATAAACTACATTAATGACACTTGTTAAATTATTCTAACAACCAAGATGTAATGTTTAAAATTATTGAACCGTTAAATTGCATGATTGAGGTATAAAAACAAACAGACTAATTCAAAATTGATTATTAAAGAATATTTAAGCATTAATTAACTGCATTAAAAGTTGATTAATTACTAAAGTAATCAATGTAAAATAGTTTATTTGAAATTTAAAACTACATTCATATTATAATTATTTAATCATGCTATCGGTTGGGTAATTTTTATTATTTTCATATGTGGTTGGGAAGTGTAAAAATTTTCCTAAACATATATATTTTTGTTTTACAACTTTTATTAATTTATGACTGTGCAAATTATTTTAAGTATATTTAGTTATTTTTAATACAAAATTGTGTTTTTTTTTTTAATTTTAATTAAAATAAAATAAATAATAGTTTATACATAGAATATCAGCTTATTTGATTATGCATGGGAAAAATTTACCAAATACATTACAAAAAATGTTTGCAGCAATCAAAAAAACCCCAATTAAATATAACTTCACTGACTCCAATCAGTAATAAAGTTAGATAAGCATTATAACTATACAATAATTTGATTTCCTGATAAGTTATTAAACAAAACTTTTATGGAGAAAATTATTTATCCTAGTTACCAATAGAAGGTTAAATACAATTATAAAAAAAAAAAAATGTTTTTATATTAAATTGTAACTAAATACAATTTGGTAATACAATGACATGTCAATGCCAGTTATTATAATTGTTACTAATTTTATGTTTTATTTTTTATCACTATAAAATATTATTATTGTTCTATTTAATTTTATCTTTGTTATAAAAATCATAAGTATTATTGTCTCATAGCTTAAATAATTTGCATTTAATAATAGATTAACAAGTACATTTTATTAACTTACTAAAAATGTTCCACCAGAGAGTTTATCATCTGAAAATGTATTGCTTAATAATTCTTCAGACTTATTGAATGGAAAAGAGCTACTAGTAAGTAACTCAACTGCAAAGCGTGATTTCGTAAAATTTGTATTCAAATTATTAAGTGTAAGTGTTAGCTCTCCAGATTCAGGAGTATGAACAAGATGCGGCAACTTAAATCCGGTACCTTTTTTCCCACATACTTTTAACTAAAAATAAATAAAATACTTATATTAACACCAAAATTATAATTTATTAGAAAGGTATAACACAATATTTAGAAAATTTCATTTAACACATTCATGAATCAAAAAAATAATAACACTAACTTGAAATTATTCATTAATTAATGGTGAAAATGAAAAGTTATAATTAATATGACAAAATAAATTTGGTTAACATAGGTTCAAAATAAAATACAATGATACTATTAACACGTTCACTGCGGATGACACCAATTGGCGTCATGTACATTGTTGTTGAATGTACTTCAATTTGGTCAGCTTTAAATTTAAACATTTTAATTCTTGTAAGTATTATTTCATAAGTATGCGCAAGTAGTACATAAGTATTTTAATTTTTCAATTTATTTTAACACCTTTATTTTTTCTGCGTCAAGACAAGTGTACTCAAATATAATAAACAGTTAACATATTAATGGAAGTTTCATGTTAGATTTAATATTATTTTAAAAATTTAATTTACGGGAATATTTATTTTTAAAATTGAATACATTTATAGAGCTAATTTATGTTAAATGTTAATATTTGAAAAGTTAAATTAATTATTTTCTATAAGTGTTTAAATAATATAGTAAGTTTTAAAATTTAGGCAAACTGATAGAATATTAATATTTAATAGTACAAGAGTAGTTACATCCTTGGATAAACATGGCAAGACATTCAATTTTATTTAAAAAATAATAATTGATTAATAATAAAACATGAGTATATATTTGTATTTTTTTAAATTAGGTACATCCAAATTAAACATCTTGATGTTTTGTGCTATTAAATTTTAAAATTAATAAATATTCAATTGAAAATTGTCATACTGTTCATAAATTTCTTTTATCATCAATTAATTTTATTCATAAATGAGCTCAAGGACAACATCATGAGTTCTTACCGTAATAGATACAATACCAGTTTTGTTAATGCCCGGCCCTCTATATGAATTAGCAGATAGAACAATCTCTACAGATTCGTTATTATTGTTTATTGATTGAGTTATATTCCATTTAAAATTCTTGAAATCCATTTTTTTGAAATTATCGCCATTTTTCATATTTGCTGTATCATTTACATCATTGAACTCATACAACTAAAATTAAAATATAGTATATAAGTTATAAGAATTATACATTTTTATTTAATTTGTAGGTACAATACAAAAAAAATAAATTAAATGTTTTTAGCACTATTGTAATTTACCTTGTTAAGGTATAAATAAAATTATGTTCAAATTAATATTTAAAATACTGTTAATAGATGTAGTTTAATTAAGCTGTTCTGTCCATGTACTTTATTTTTTATACATATTACTTGTTGAGTTAAGTGTATACAAATTTTAAATATAATTTAGTATTCATGCAGGCTGTTATGAAGTATGTCCTGTCTACTTAAAAGTAATGTAATTAACTCAATTATTTCAATTGCATATTATAATTTAAACACGAGGTAACAAATTCAGGTCCAAGAAAATTTTTTACAGATTATTCCCAAGATTTTACGTTTATAATAATTTTAAAGTTTTAAAGAATTAAATTAAGAAAAAACCAAATTGCAAAATCCTTGGATTTCTATAAGTACTTAATGAAATAAAAATAACAAGTTATCATTTAACAATAACTATTCTAAGTCTATTGACAATTGCTATACAATTTACAAAACTTAATTAGTAGACAAATAATAAAACATGATCAATTACAGACTGGAAAAAAACAGTATACCTAAATAAAGACAGTTAAGGTACCCAGGTATATACGTGTAAATATATTGTAACTTTAAAAATATAAATATTCACTGTAGGAACCGTTTAAACTTGGAATATAGGCTTACATTATTGAAGACAGATGCAAACGTATACAGCGGAGGCTCTGTAAACTTTATGTCGTTGGCCCGTTCTGTAGTATAGTTCACTTGAATAATGGCATCTTTGTTTGTGGTTATAACAACCAACGATGGTTTTAATGAGCATCCAGTAGGAAATGAACAGTATCGTTATCCCCCTCAGCGCCGTATATATGTAAGTTTTGACAATTTAGAACAATGATCCTCCATCATACATCCCGGATTGAATTCGGCGTGCAACTATTCAATTAAAAACATTTTATTTATTGTTTGTCACAATAACAAGATCTTTAAATAAGATGTTAGTTAAATTACCTTTCTATCGGCAACCACAGACGTGGTGAATACCGTCACAATGAACACAATGGTTTTTAAGCGCTTCATTTTTTCGAACACACTTAAATGGAAGAAGACTGACAGAACGCACTACAGTGACTAGTGACTACTGAACAAATATTAAAAAATCACAAATTGGCGAATTTGAATCGCAGTAACTTAAAATTATCGACTGTCAGTTGTTTGAGAAGAAACGAACGAAAACAATAATAATAGCGACAACTCGACCTATCGCACCTATTGTTCTATTAATAATTGTATTATGTTTACTCATTCAATTGGAATTGTAACCGTCATTGGACAGCCAAACGCCGATAATGGAAGACGCATTCGGGCATCTCGAGTTCGAACAAAAGTGTTACGGTCGTTGCGTGACCGCCAGCTGCAGCTGCAGGCTTCTACTATATATATATAATATGTCATACGATATTATATTATTGTTGTTATTATCAAATATTTTAACGATAAAAACTGTAAAATCCACATAATATTCTCCTTCCAAGACCTTTTAAACAATATTATTATTTTACACACGGCCACACTGTCTAATGTTTATTGTTAATAATTGTTTTGTTTTCTTATCAAACGATGTTGATAATCCCCGGTAATTCCGTAATTTCAAATTTCGAAAAACGTGATTATCGATTCATATTATCTCTGAATATTAAATCCGAAATAATAAATACGAATCCCGTGTTCCCGTAATTCCGTTAAATACTGTTAAATACTTAAATAGTGGTCAGTAGTCAGTACCGTCCACTAAGGACTGTCTAGTGAATCAAGTCAATCCTTTTGATTATTATATTATCGCTTGGCGTTGTTTGCTGATTTTTAATTTATATTATTGCTAAACAGTAAGCACCCGTGGGCCGTATTGCTATCGTAGACTATCCATATTTGTTTCCGATTATTTCGAATGCTTTAAATCTGGATGAATATAACATAATGTTAGCCGCCACCAATCCACAAGTAAGTAATTCCAGACTTTTGCATCTCCCGGATATTAATAAAAATAATTTCAGGTGTTCATACCTTTTGGGCGGCAACATGTAAAAAATAGATTCATTGGTGAAGTGAATACTCCATCAGTTGGATATTATGATCGGCCAGAACTCCATGCTGATGAATTTTTGTCAAAAACAATAACTGATCTATCTCTGGACACTTCAGATAATTCGCATGTATGTATTCTTATTATTGTGTAATTATTGTATAGGGTTAAGCTAACTTCAATAATACAATTACTTTAATAACAGTAGGTAAAAAAATGATAGGTGTAAGAAGTTAAATAATTAGATTGTAAACTATTTACCTCTTTCAGATTTCCAAACATTTCTACACTGATCATAAATAATGATTTACAATAGTAGAACTTGAGATGTTACTCCCTAGTTGAGTTTTATACATTTAAATTAATATTATTATATATTTTGATAAGTTTTTGATAACGTAACAAAACATATAAATATTTTTTTTTTTAAAACAATATATTTATGTGTTTAAAAATAATTTTGTCTTGTTATCAGTCATGATCAAATTTTATTTTTTGGTCATTAGTCATCTTCAGCAAAATCTGCTGAAATGTGTTCATGGATAAATTGGTTCAAGTGTCAAGACTTCATTGTTAAGATAACAAAATTGTAAATTCTTTGTACATCTTAAAATATTCATAACTCGCTTTAAAATTAAGATATAATAATAAGCCTAGAGATTGTCTGTATAATAATTTTACCTTTAAATTTTATAATAGGTCAATTCACTTTTCAAACTAATAGAGCTACATGTGTTCTGAAGAGTGTACAATTTGCTATGTTACGCACTTGTAAGACGAATACAACAAATGTCAGTGTAACGTCCTCTTAAATCAGAAGTCTTTACAATATGAACATGTGTATGTCACCTATAGACTATAGGTGATCTATAAAAATACAACACAAAAATTGTTTCTACCTAGCTACATATGTCCTTTATGCATTCCCAAACCGTTCATCCGATTGCGATGAAATTTCGTACAGGGATAGATTAGACCTTGGGGAAGAAGATAGGTTACAGTTTTTTGAATAAAGGATAAATAAGAGGTCCAACCTGGGGTGGACCTCAAACAGGGATTTTGAGATTTAAAAATTAAGATTTTTTTACTATAAATGGTTCTAATATTGTATTGGTTTTAATAATAATTATTATTTATATTATGATAATCCTGTGTATTTTAGTCATTGACTATTATTACTCTATGATTTTTAGTACAGAATGTAACAAGTTAAAACTTCGGTTTTTATGAACCAATTTTTTGATACTTTAGTGTTTAATTATACACTTACATAGATTTCCTACTTTATAATATATATACTGCTCGCATAATCGCAAGCGAATCTCATGTAAGGCACCGTTTGGAATGGCTGTAAATTAAAATATTAGGTATATCATTTACACTTAAAAAGACATTGTGTCCACAGCGTGTTACACCCAAAGTTGAACAATCTCCAAAACCTATCAATAGCAAAGCATTATAAAAAGTTTTATTATCGTACATTCATACATAAGTTTGTATAAAGTACTTAACACTTAAAATAATAAGTTTATCATTTAAATAATTTCATAAAAAATAATTACAAAAAAATTGAGAACTGCTCTGCTATATCCTAGATGCCTAGAAGGGTTGCTGTAACGGATTTGTTAAATTTGAATTCAATGATATAATATCATTATATACGATAGACGATCTGACAGCCTATATTACAAAGTATATTTTATGATATTTTTGCCATTAAAGTAATTAGTTTTACTATTTTATATTAGTAATACAGTAGGCATTTTTTAGTAAACAATTGAAATTGAAAATGCCATTGTGTGTATACAACATAATAATTAATAATATACTTTAAAGTTACCCACAAAGAATATTTTTTAAATTACAAAAAAACAACTAAAATTATTATTTTTTGTTTAAGTATCTAATTTTGAACTTAAAATATCTATAACAAAAAAAAAACTGTTAAAATATTTTTTAGATATGTTGGTTACAATATGAACTATTAATAAGAAATGTTGTTTTAAAATTTCAATCCTTAACTATACAAATTTAACACTACATTTTTAACTACAAAACAATTTGTACATTTTCAATAATTCGATGAATTTTGTCTAATTTGTACTTAATGCTTTCTATTACAACAATTTATGAGGAATCTTATATTAAATTTTCAAATTTTGACCCAACAAAAATCATGTTATTGATATTTATAGAAAAAAACTAAAATAAATAATAACAAAAAAGATAAGTTTATATATTTTATACATGTAAAACACTAATAATATATCATAATTCATAACAATAAAGTAAAGGCGGTCAGTTAAAACTTTGAGCAAGGGAGATTGGTTGATAGTTGTCAAGGTCAACCGATTGTGTTCCATCATTTTTTCAGAGAAAAAGTATGGTTGTCACAATTTTCACTATTTTTGTCTAATATCTTGGCCAATAATAATATAGAACCTTTTGAAAATTGTTCCACAGCTAAATAATTTATTTTAATAATTCTTTGACTTCTTATGCATTATATTTTTTTATTAGACTGCCTAGAAAATGTCCCACCTTGGTTTTTTTTATTTTTATTATGACTTTTTTATTTTATTGTAGTCCCAAGAAAAATTTATTTTGAGAGAAAAAGATGGAGCTGAAGAAGAATTATATGTTTCTGGTAAAATAGTAGTGCATAGCCGAGGAAATGCTTGTAAATCTGCTGCTGATAAAGAAGACTATACTCCAAGCGGTAGATCACTAATCTGTACTTATACAATGGAAACTAATGTCACACATGCTTTATGGAGTAAATTCAATGTTTCACCAGAAGTAAATGATAGTGAAATAAAAACTGAAGGTATATCCCATTACTTATAAATACAATCAAGTAATAGTGGTATTATATACGAAGGATGGACTGATACTAGAACCGATACTCGATATCGGAATTATCGGTATCAGTTTTTTTTTTTTTAAACTGATAAATCAAACCGCCCAAACTGGTATACCAAAGAGTTAAATATGCTTTGAATCCATATAGTTTTTTCATATTTAATACCATACTTGATACCATAGACTTGCTTAAATACTTAGTGCTTATCACTTAATCAGTGACCCAATCATTTTATATTCGTACAGAATAATAGTTTTTTTAATTAGTTTAATTTTGTCCCCCTACCCTCTGAAAATTACCCAAGGGCAACCCCTGGGAAAGCCTAATTATATAATATATTGTTAGTATTCCACTAAGATGGTAAAATCAAAAACTAAATTTAAATCAATTATAAGTAAACGTTAAAGGGAGTACAATTAGGTAGTAGGTATTTAAATATTAGTTTATTATTTTAGCTTTATATTTCTACTACATTTCATCCTTTACTACCGGTATCTTTTTTTTTATATAAATTAAATTAAAAATAATTTTTAATCGTGCATATTATTTTATAGAAAGAACAGTTCCGTGTATATGTATAGTTGATGCAAAAAAAATAAGTTTATATTCTGAAGGAGGAGATGTTTGGCATACACCATTATATTTTAAGGTATGTTATAGAAATGAGTGAGCATTATCACAAGGGCCAGATTTGTAAAAATTTACATATTTTGTATAATGTGTTTAGAAAGCACAAAATATGTTTCATGAAGATGTGATTAAAAATACAAACTATTACAGACCATATTTCAATGTTAAAACTTTTTTAAACTATATTTTACAATTTTAAGGTCAGATTTACTCTTTTATGAAATATTGAACTATTGTTTTGCTAATACAAAAACAGAATAATTATAAGAAAGATTTTAATTTAAAATGCCAATTCAAGTTGGAGAAGTAAAACAGATTAATTCAAAGTTTAATACCTAATTTTCTTTACATTTTTATTCTATTTATTTATTTTTAAAATTTTAACAAACCCAATAATAAATGAATTGATAAATATTGCTTTAATTTGTTTTATATTAATATAAAACCAATAATTAATTTTCTTTTTAAATACAGTTTTTATGAGCATATTTTCCCATCTTGATTTGATTTTGGTTTTGAATGCATATTTTTCAGATCATATTTGATGAATTTTTAAGTGTGTTTAAATTGAAGCACTAATATTGTCACAAATCAATAAATATTACCATTTGAATTATATTTTAGGTAACATCTGTTTGGAATACAAGTTTTGGCATACTAATTGAAAGAGATTTAGGTCAAGTGCCTATTGATATGACAGGAAAATCTTTACCATTGCCTACTATATACTCATTAAGTCAACCGTTAAAAGAAGTGTTGCCTTTGTTCTTATTAAAACAAGGTATTTATTAATATTTAAATTACCTATTACTGTCCAACAATAGAACACGCTATGACTCACTAAAAATCAATATGTTCTGCATAAACCAGCATAGCATCGAGCCTCACAGTTATTCCCACCAAGACATCAGCAAAGTTTGTAATCGGGTGGTGTTGGTTAAAATCTGCTGGGCTTCCAGGTTACTTAGAGAGAATGCTATGCCGTCACAGTATATGCACAGTACTAGCGTATTCTGTAGTTGCTCAAAGTATATACCAGGGGTTTTCAACCTGTTTATCGCGGCTCCCGGGGGTGGAGTGTCGCCATTTATTATCAAGGGAGTTGTGTCCGCAGACGAGAATAAAAACTTAAAAATCAGAAGAGCCATGGATCCAAAAAGGTTGAAAACCCCTAGTATAATATTCTAACCTATTTATTAGTTATTACTTATTATTTTACCATACATTATAATTAATACATACATAATATAAACAAAACTATATTATATTATTAATATTGTATATTAATTAACATCACTATGCATTGCATGGGATAGAAAATTTAATTTATTTAATTCAATTTTTTAGGAAGTGTATTACAGTATGCCAGAGATTGTTTAACTACTATAGTTTTCACCAGTATTGAGTTTAATATATGTTTAATGTATGACATTTTAAATGGTCTACACAGTGTATGGAAGATCAGGAAGCCTACGACTGAAGTAAACTATTATGTTTTATGAATATGCATTTTTTATTTTTTTTATCCTTGATATATAGGAATGCAATATTATGTGTGGTCAAGATTCGATATATTCTACAACAAATCCTTCATATATTCCCAGTAATAGTAATCAAATGAATGCTATGTCGAGCTCATTAGTAGCTGGCTCAGGGTTCCTATCTGATAGGCAAGTACAGGGTGATTTTTTTTAACTGCAAACAATAAACACTCATTATCTCAAAAATTATTATTGTTTTACTAATATTTTTTTTTTTTAACGTTTCTTATGATCTCAAATTGTATAAAATATAAAAATATACTTTGGAAATAATGAGGGTTTACTTTTAAGACTATGTCGCCGGATTATTTTTCTTCTCTGTGTTGTCCAGGCGCAACATAACATTTGTATTCAGCAAAACCAATCTTGCATTGTTAGCTTTGTTTGCATTGTTACTTCTACTGTATCTGTGTTTGCCAATGTTCATGCTTTGTCTTGTGAGGAGAGATCTAATTACTTTTTCTTGGTCAATTCACACTAATATAAAAGTTAACAACACGAGATTGGTTCTGCTGAGACCAAATTTTCAATATTGTGAATGAGTGAGAAATCAAATAGTGCGCTGACATCCTTATAAAAAAAATGTATATAATTTTTTTTTTTTTAGACTTTCATTAAATCATCCAGTGAATTCTAGCCCATTCCCTTTCAACAATAGAAGAAGTACCCCTAATATAATGTCACCATTCAATACTCTGAGTCCTATGACTGGAATCAGGTTTATAAAGTTTTAATTAACGCATGTATAAATAGTTTGTATATTTAAAAATAAAAATTGTCATTTTTAGTCATTACAACTCCTCCGTTTGGAATAGTCCATCAAATACTTCAAAAAGGCGTCCAAATGCCACTATTACTAATAATCAAACATACAACACCCCAACTTCAATGTCTTGTATTGTTAATGCTAGGCTTGGTCATGGAAGCATGTATGAAGATAATAACTCTAAACCTGTTAGTCCTGATATTTGTTTAGAATATATGTGGACAGAAAATCAAAATACTAAAGGGTATACTTTTTTTAATTTAAGGTTCTACTATTTAAGTTGCTTTTCTCATTTATAATTTCCATAAAATCAAGCAACTTTGATTAGGTACTTCAAATCGTTCATGCAATAATGTTGATTATAATTTTGTATTTGTGTTTAGGAATCAAGATTTATGTGCTTCAACAAAAGTATTTATTGCTTCAAATTTTGTTGGAGACCGTCTTTTATGTTATCTTTTACCTAAAAAGACCCACTTAATATGTGTTGAATTGGAAACAAATATAAATGATATTACTTTGGGAAATGTCACAGTTCTTGTAGCAAAAGATGCAGCATATTTACCAGTAATTATTAACTATACCAATCATAAACAAAAAGTTAACATGAATGTTCTATTAAATAGTGTTATAAATTATAATAATAATTAATTTAATATATTTATAAATATTTTGATAAAAATTACTAAACAAATTCAATCCTCTTGAGATAATTAATGATTGGAGGCTTACACACTATCAGCCAACTGAATAGTTAATAGGAATTATTTAAAAAAAAAGTTAATTAAATAATTAACTTTTTTTAGTAAAATGTAGGTAACATTGTGTATTTAAAATGTATAACTTTTATACTAATGGTTTATTTATACAATAATATATATATCAATTCACCCATCCCCCCTCCATTTCCAACAAATATAAATTGTGTTTTCACTTTTGATCGATGATATTAAATATCTTATAATTTTATTTGTACCTACCTTTATAATAATGCATAACATAATAATATACCACTATAATTAGTGTTATTGTCAACTTTTCTGTCTTTTGTCGTTATCGACATATAACAATAGAATTTATGTTTAAAACATTAGAACATATACAATAATATTTTACTTTACCGTGACGGGTGGAATATGAGTTGTGCTTACACGCTACACGATAATGGATATATTAAAAGTTGTTCTTAAATCATAAATAATGATAGTGAGCTCGTAGTGAGACATAAGTTATACAAATACACCATTGGCATTAAATTAATTATTTTCTACCCCTCGTCAAGTAAATTTATTACAGCAATGATTCTGTACTAAATTACTAAAAATACCTATATACTACTATTTAATCATTGATAAATCTATTTTATACATTATTTTTTTTTCAACACCAACCCTCTCTCACCAGCATTCAGAAGTCCAGAGTGTGCACGTGGAGATTTCTATTACAATGTAATGTAACAATATATATTATGTGTCCCTTTTTAAAATAATTTGAATAATAAACATTAGTATCATCAATAAGTAATAGCTAATAGCTATATATATTATTTTGGTAATTGACCTATTTTATTAAATTATACTTTTTAAATATAATTGATTACAAATAATATATGCATAATGTACACATTTATATTTTAGTCAAAAAAATTAACTGTGATAATGGATTGTCAAAACAATATTTCATTATATTCTGGAATATTAATTATTGGTTCTATCCAATTGGGGAGTATGTCTTCAGTATTTGATGAGAATACATCGTATTTTACAGCAACAAACAGGTCAACTATCGGAACTCCATTAATAAAGTAATAGACTATTTCAAATTTAATTTTAATGCTTTTAATCTAGTATAATATTAACTAAATATTTTTTAACATAGTCGTAAAAGTTTATTATCATCTACAAGAAATGAAGATAATATTCAAATAAATGAAAATGTTAATAGCATTGTATCATCTTCTGATTATGACTCACAACTTGTAAGACATTTTGAAACACCATATTCTGAATCATCATTAAATTGTTATACATCTAAAGTAGAATTAAAGCATTTAAGAGATCCTATAGCTTCTCGGGTCACATTAGTAAGTTTTTTTTTTATATAACAATTCATAACAGTCAATTTATAATTGTGTTCTGTGTAACATATAGGTTCACGAAGATGGAAGTATGATTAGAGTTGATTTTCCAGTTGTTAGTTCATCCCCATTAGGTTAGTAATTACTAGTATAATTAAACAAATTATACATTAATACAATATTATAATTTTTATTTATATTTTTTTATTTATATTTTTTTAGTTACTAAATGTTTAAACACATTAAAAAATGTCCTTAAAAAATCAACTGTCATGGAGCTAATGATAAAATGGTATACAGTTAGAAATGCACCAGGCACTCAAAATATATCGGGTGAAGAGGAATGGAAATTATTTATCCATATGCTACTTAGACTCATAGGATATAACTTAGAATCATTGGCATTAACACAAGATTCTTTGAATACATATAGTGATACACCAGCAAAATCAAAAAAACAGAGGGTTTTGGATATGGGCAGTGATGAAGACTGGACATTTATGTTAAAAACATCATTTAACAGTTTCCGGGGCAATAATATAGCAGCCTCTCTAGGGTTGAAAAATAAACTAAATAATTATAACCCAAACTTTCATCAACATTCAAACTTAAAAAATAATATTGATACAAATGCAATACTATTTCCATACATCTATGATGTTTTATTTTCTTTACATTTAGTTTATGAAGTATGTATAATTAAATTAATTAAATTAATTTATATTAATTATTCTATTTTTTCAAGGACTTAAAACTTAATACAATGAAAACTAATTTGCTACCAATGGTTGTGCAATTGTTATATCAATTAGCAACTGATTTGAAATTAGATGAATATGTTTATCATTATTGGAAAGATTATCCAAATTTTTATAACAGGAATTATTTATCATTAGGAGTAAGTCAATACTTTAATAGTTATTACTTATAATACTAAAAATACGCATACATTTTGTTTTTGACATTTTAGTTGAGTCAAATAAGTGAAGAAAATCGGGAAACCCTTATAATTCCATCATATTTTGAACCAAGTCCACCTAACATATTCAGATTGTGTTTCTTGCTAATGAAACATTATGCAGCTAATCCTTATCCTTGTATAGAAAATGTCAATAGAAGGACCAAGAATATAATTCAGGTAAATCAATATTATTTATTTCGATAAGATACGCTTATTATTGAATGCTTACTGATGTGTTTTACATAAGAAGACGTTACATACAGGTGTGTTGTCTCCTTCTTACCAATGTAAAACATATCTAATTTGTATTTAACAAAACCAATTTTATGTTGTCATTTTTAATATTAGAATTAATTTACATATTATTAAACTTAAAGTTAAGGACATCTGAGTTTATATGTCGAGTGTTTTATGATATTTTAATTTTAAACAAGTTATTATCATTTTTAAATTGCAATATTGTACATACTCATAACTTTCTTAATAATTGAAATATAGTAAAATACCAATTTTCAAATACAGGTAACATTCTTACCTTTATGATTGATTTTAAATTAATTCATATTAAAGCTTACCAGTGTAAATGTGTTTATAGTGCTGAATGCGAATTTTCTATGTTCTACATATTTTGTTAAAAAAGACAACACATTCAGGCAGGGCTTACTCTTTAGTTGTAGATTAACTGCAATATAAAATATAAAATACAATTTATATAATTTGATGTATTAACATTAGATTGGTCAAAGAATATTAATTAGAGTTAACTGTATTCAAGTTTTAAATATTTATGTTTATTTACAATTCTAATTTTCACAGATCTATGGTTTATTATGTTTAAAAAAGAAGTCTCACATGAATGCATTAGTTAAAATAATAAATCCTGCTGGAGTAAAATCAAATAAAAATGAAAGCATTTCTTTAGATAATGTAAATTTGAAAAATAAAGTAGCAAAATATCAGCACGCTACACTTTTTATGTCTAAAATAGGTAAAATCACAAAGAAAGTATTTATTAATGTTAATTTTATAATTAGACTATCATCAATTTAAATTTTGTTGAATATGTTTGTAGGAATTACACAGCAGACTCTATTAACTTACCCACCTGGAGTTGCAATATTGCTATGTGATGTTATTGATAAATGCAGAGAAAGTCCACCTACAAATTGGCCAAAATCTGCATATGAATTAATTATGCGAGAAGATTTAGCATCACAGACATTAAATACTTTTTATAAAAATAACAATAAAAAAAATAATTCTAAAAGTATGGATAAATCTAACAATTGGAATGATGTGAGTGAAACCGACACTGGTATTATAAAGGATGGCATGGGAAATCTAGATGATGAGGTACAAATGTTTTATTAGTATTTCAATTTATCTTATTTCAACAAAATATAAAATCACTTTTTGTTGAAATAATGTTCAAACATTATAACATTGTTATTTGTTATACAGGTTATGAAATTATTATGGAATAAAGATCATCGTATAACGGATGTGAGAAATTTTTTACAATCTTGTCACCCAGTGACCATTGGTATTAAGCAACCACCAGAAGCTAGTGATCATGACTTTGTTGAGGAACAAGAAAAATATTTGTACTCAATTTGCTCAAGAACGATGGCTCTACCAGTTGGCAGGTAAAACTTACAATAAAAAAGTGCTATTATTTGATCACTCTATTAATAATATGAATCATTCGCATAAAAAAAATTAACTAAATACTGTTTAAATATAAAAATTACTTGATGGTTATAAAATGACATGAATACAATTAACAAATGAAAATGTCTTAAAACATAAAGGTAGTAATTTTATTTTATTATTATATAATTAGAGGAATGTTCACTATGAGATCAATACAACCTGTTATAACTGAACCACTTCCATTACCAAAACTTTGTTTATCTGGTAAAACGCCACGTGGTGCTGCAGTTGAACTTACCCACATAGATATTGTTCCTAATATGAATCTTTGGCCATTATTCCATAATGGAGTAGCTGCTGGATTACGAATAATGCCTTCCGCTGATAATATTGATTCCACTTGGATTCTATATAATAAACCAAGAGTAATGAACCGTCATATTATTTATTATTTAATACTATTTTTGTTATATATATATATATATATTAGGGTGGTTCAAGTTTATAGAGGCTAAAATTTTTTTTGAGAAATTTAAAATGAGTACCCCCCCCATTTTTTTATGTGATAATAAATAATAATTCTGCGAAAATTTGGACTTGATAACTTAACCCCTTCACGTGCCGCAATAGGGTTAAATTATGGCCCAAAGGGGTTTTTTCAGTTTTTTTTTAATTATTTCAAAAACTAAAACTTATGCAAAAAAAATTATAAATTATAAATTATAGAGAAATATACTGTCTACAAAATATGTTATAATACAAATTCTATTTAATCCATTATTTCATATGGAAAAACTATATAAATGCCTAAGTGTAATGAAATATTTTGTTTATACGTAATACGCGTATTCCCAAATATATATATGTTTTTAAACCAAATTAAGATTGTGACTTTTAATCGTAGTTGAAATAAATTATTGTACGTTTGAATTTGATAGCAATGTATATTTTAAAAACAGTAGGTATAATTTCACAATTTATTTTTAACTCCAAATTATTGCGATAACAATGATTTTATCTGTTATTACTTTATCGTCAAACCAGAAAGTAGATTACTGTGTATAACGTAGTCAATAGTCAGTATATTACAGTCATTTGTGTAACATCAGCTTTTTGATATTCAATATTTATATTTTTGTATTTTACGTAATTGTTTTTAATATGTCTAAACGAAAAATTTATTTAATAGAATCAATTAAAAATCAAATTACGGGTAGCAAATTACCATCAATTAAAGACTGTCTAAGTGTACTCTTTTTTAATCTGAGGTTAGTTAAATTAAATGTAAACGACGGTGCCGCACTTGTTATTGACGAGTGTTTAATTTATTGGAGAAAAGCAAGAATTCCAACTCGTGATCGTTTGAATTGCATAAAGAAATTAAAAAAAATTTACGAAGATTGGCGTAGCTTAGAGAAAAATGCAAAAAGAACCGGAGATTTATACAAGCAAAGAGAAAAAAACTTTGTCGATTGTCTAAACGATTTGTTTGATATATCACATGCCAATGCGGTAAACATGATGAAAAATGAGGAGGACATTGCATTTTTAAATTTACAAAGACAAAAAGGTCGTCCAGGTTGCATGGTTGGTAAAGATTTAATATTGTCCAAGGCAGAAGAGAGGACTGAATCTCGTCCAGTAAAAATAAATACAAATCTTAATTCGACTATTGAACTTGAATCTGGTATGTGAAAAATATTTAAATAAATTATATAATATTAAAAATTAATATAAATTTGTTTTTGATGATAGTTAATTACGATAATTTGTCTACGAGTTCGGACGATAATGAAGAATTAGAAAATTTGGAAGAATACGAAGAAAGTCATGAAGGACCGTCTAAAACTAAAAGGTCAAGAAAAAATTTAATGACATCCCGAGTTACTGCAGCATTGGATAAATGCAAGGTAAGTGACCGGGACGCTATTCACATTATAACAGCTTTATTGGAAGCTCTATCTTTAGACATAAATGATTTCGTTCTTAGTCGGTCATCTGTTAAAAGAGCTCGCGAAATGTTACGTAAAGAAAGCGCTACCTCTATAAAGTCCACATTTTCTGATATTAATTTAGATTTTGTAGTTATACATTGGGATTCTAAAATGTTGACTGATATAACGGGTAAATCAAATATAGACCGGCTACCAGTTGTTGCCACAGCCCCCGGCATAGAGCAACTACTTGGAGTCCCTAGCCTCACATCATGTACGGGATCTGAGGTATCATCTGCAGTTTATGACATATTACTCGAATGGTCGTTGGAAGATAAAATTCAAGCTATGGTAGTTGACACCACTGCTTCTAATACGGGTCGATTGAATGGAGCATGTATTCTTTTAGAACAAAAATTAGAAAGACAACTTTTATTATTAGCCTGCCGTCATCATATGTATGAAATTGTCTTAGCAGGTGTTTTTTCTGAATCAAAGCTATCTGTTATGTCCGGTCCAGATATACCTATTTTTAAAAAATTCCAAAAAAATTGGCCAAACATAGATAAGTCAAACTATTCCACTTTTGAAACTGATCAAGCGATTTATGACAAACTAAAGGATGTATCTACGGAGGTATTGTTATTCGCAGAAAAAAAAATCAGGGAAGAATTACCTAGAAATGATTATAAAGAGTTTTTAGAATTGATTATAATATTTCTAGGAGGAAAACCTCCAAATGGTACCAACTTCCGACAACCTGGCGCCTATCATCTGGCAAGGTGGATGGCGAAAGCCATTTACTGCCTAAAAATATTTATGTTTAAACAACAATATAAATTAATACCTAGAGAAGAATCGGCAATCAAAGAAATATGTTGTTTTATTATTATATGTTACGCAGAACAATGGTTTAACTGCATGAATGCTATCGAGGCACCATTAAATGATATTATTTTTTTAAAAAAATTAGTGTCATATAAAAATATCAATAAAAAAATAGCGGAAGTAGCGATAAAGAAATTCATTAACCATTTATGGTATTTAAATGACGAATGTATATTATTTTCATTATTTGATGAACGAATTAAAATAGAAGAAAAAAGAAAAATGGTGGAAATTTTAAAAGAAAATAATGATGATAATATAGAACCTCTAAAAAAATTGTCATTAAAGCCAGAAGAAATAACAGATTTTTTAAATCGCGATTTACCAACAGACTTGTTTACACCACATACATTCAGTACATTTTCTCGGTTCAATATTTCTACTGATTTTTTACAACTAGATCCACTTGAATGGCCCAACAACGATAGCTATAAAAAAGCACGAAGTATCATAATTTCATTAAAGGTAGTTAACGACACAGCGGAAAGAAATGTCAAGTTGATGGAAGAGTTCAATCAAAAAGCGACAAAAAATGAAGAACAAAAGCAATACTTATTACAAGTTTGTACCAATAAATATTAGTTTTAACTATGATATTAAATAATTAAAAAATATAATTTAACATAATAAAACTTATTTTTCAGGTTGTTCAAGACTACAGAAAAACATATCCATCATTTAGCCGACAATGTCTATCAAATTTATAATAAAAATGTGCTTAATATTTTTGAATAAAAATAAAAAATATTTTTCATTATCTTAAAATATTTTTTATATTCGTTTTAAGTTTTTCTATATGAAATAATGGATTAAATATAATTTGTATAATAACATATTTTGTAGACAGTATATTTCTCTATAATTTATAATTTAAAATTTTTTTTGTAAAAGTTTTAGTTTTTAAAATAATTGAAAAAAATTGAAAAAAACTGAAAAAAACCCCTTTGGGCCATTATTTAACCCTATTGCGGCACGTGAAGGGGTTGAGTTATCAAGTCCAAATTTTTGAAGAATTATTTTTTCTTATCACTTAAAAAAATGGGAGGGTACTCATTTTGAATTTTTTTAATAAGTTTTTTTGGACCACCCTAATATATATATATATAATTAGTATGCATTTATGCAGAGTACTCCAGAAGCACTTCCAGAACATGCTGGATTTCTTATGGCATTGGGCTTAAACAGGCATATTACTAACTTAGCTACAATGAATACTTATGAATATCTATGTAGATCTCATGAAATGATCAGTATTGCAATACTTATTGGATTAGCAGCAGCTAAACGAGGTATTTATCTATAATATTATACATATTATACTATTTGTTAATTATTTTATTATTTATTAGGTACTATGGATACAGAAATTACACGAATGTTGTGTATCTTCATTGAATCTTTATTACCTCCAACTACCATTGAATTAGATATGAGTCAAAACTTGCAAATAGCAGCATTATTAAGTATTGGTCTTCTTTACCAAAAAACTGCCCACAGACATATAGCAGAAGCACTGTTATCTGAGATAGGCCGACCGCCTGGTCCAGAAATGGATAATAGTATCGATAGGGAATCTTATTCATTGGCAGCAAGTCTTGGTCTTGGTTTAGTTGTATTAGGTAAAGGTTCAGATGTTGTTGGCCTTAGTGATTTATCAATTGCTGATACATTGCATTACTATATGGTTGGAGGACATAAAAAACCTCTTACAGGTAAATAAAGAATTTAAATATTTAAAATATTCATTTATCCTATAGGTTATATGTATATTATGTACTTAACATTTAGTAACTTTACAATCTATTTAGTAATCAGATTCTATATTTCAATTAGTTATTACATAATACTTAATTACTTTATTAGTTTAATATAATATAATACATTTATTACAATCGGTGTCAAATAAATTTGCACATCACAAATAAGCAAAACCGGGTTCTCCATACTTGGATGTGATATACACTAATACTATCGCAGCATAATGGAATAAATATAGAGCAGCCAAATCACACACTGCGACTTGTTTAGGCTATGTCAATCTATCTGACATCAACTGTATTAATTTTATCTAAAATAATGTTGTATTACTTTTATAAATAGTATTTTTAATTTTTATTAAGGAGCACAAAAGGATAAATACATTAATCCCAGTTATCAAATCCGTGAAGGGGAAATGGTAAATGTAGATGTAACTTCAAGAGGTGCTACTTTAGCCTTAGGAATGATGTATTTTAAAACAGGAAACCAGTAGGTTATTTATGTTTATATAATTATACAATTTTTATACTGTAAAATTATATTTTTATAGAGCTGTAGCAAATTGGATGAGCATACCTGATTCCCCATATCTACTAGATTTCATTAACCCTGAATTTATATTACTTAAAATGTTAGCCAGAGGCTTAATAATGTGGAATTACATATTACCCACAAAAGATTGGATCGAACAGTTTGTACCTCAATCTATTCAACGCTATTGCTTAGTAAAACCTAAACCAGGAATGGCCAATCCTGATTTAGAAACCATTAAGTATGTTATTAATAAATTATCCCATGAATCAATATATTATTATATAAAATTGTGCATTTGTTTTTAGTCAAACATACTGCAATATTGTAGCTGGCTGTAGTATGGCAATGGGTTTACGTTTCGCTGGATCTGCTAATGAAGAAGCTTTCAATACTCTTTTATCTTACTGCCAAATGTTTATATCATTATGTAGTAAATCAGTTGCTGAACTTTGTGGAAAATCAACTATTGAAACTTGTATAAATGTTACTCTTATATCATTATCTATGGTAAGTTATTTCTACTTATCATTAAAAATCTAACAAAAATTGCATGTTGGTCTTGCCATTATTTTGAATAAATCTCTTGATCAGAAGATAAACAATTATATTTAATTTAAAAATTATTTTCATGTCATATTATAAATATATAATAGTTCTAGATGGAGTTATTTTGAACATATTTTTAATTTTAGATTTTAGGAAAATTATTAAAGTTTTATCAAGGTCCGTGTATTAATGTTGTTAGAAATTTAAATTTAATTTTAAATAATAAATGTCAAATAAAAACAATATTAAAATTTGAATAGATGTTCTGAATTTTATTTGTAACTTAGATCATATACAATGGATGTAGCTACATGTGTATTGCTCGTTTGCCAAACCATCCGTCTCATTTCAGTGAACAGTGCATCATTGCACATATTGTATCATGCTAATGCCGTTGAATTTTAATATTATTATTTTTTAGTTCAATTTCCTTGATTGGCTTGCTTATATGCACATGCACATGAGTTGTGTGTTCCCTGAAACTATAAAATAAGAGTTGGTTTATTTTAGACATTGTAAATATTGTATATACATCCACTGTATAATATGATCTAACCTGAAAAACTTCTAATCAACTCAGTTTCATATTATTTTTGAATATAATAGTTTATCATAGACCATATTGTATTAGTTATTAAACAATAACTCCCTTGTTCCACTCATATTATAAAAGCTCATGTTAAAATAATCCTTGTTTATTTGTTTTATTTAAGGTTATGGCAGGTACAGGTGATTTAGAGGTTTTGCGAATTTGTAGATATTTGAGATCAAGAGTTAGTGTATCTCCACATAGTGTTATTACTTATGGATCTCACTTGGCTACACATATGGCGCTAGGATTATTATTTTTAGGAGGTGGAAGATACACTCTTTCTACAACCCCAGAAGCTGTAGCTGCACTTATTATAGCATTTTATCCACAATTTCCTACTCATAGTAATGATAATAGGTAAGAATTAAAATTATAAACTACATTTTGCATTTGATCAAATTTGATTTTATGTATCATTTCAGATATCATTTACAAGCTTTTAGACATCTCTATATTTTAGCTACTGAACCTAGAATAATATTACCGAGAGATATTGATTCTGGAGATTTATGTTACGTTCATTTAAAAGTTATTTTTCTTGATACTAAATATTACAAAAACCAATTTTATACTGTCAGAGCTCCGTGTTTACTACCACAATTATCATTATTGAAAGAAGTACATGTTGATGATGGAAGATATTGGTCAATAGTGTTTGAACGTGACAGAAATTGGGATAATCTCGTGTAAGAAAATGTTAACATATACCAGAATTTCTTGTAATTGTGACTTGCATAATTATTTATACTATTATTTTTTCTTAACTCTAGATTATTATCTAATTCTAAAATATAAAATCTATTATTAATAGATTTTTTTTATATTTATAAAATTAATTTTTTGAGTATTATTTTAACCAACAGACATTTAGGTGAAAATTTGAACAATATTTTCAAATACTTTTAATGCCAATTGTAATATATTTATTATTACCCTTTTCGTTATTTAAATAATCTTAAGTTTTACTATTTAATAACAAATATCACAATATGACACTTATATACATATACAGGGTGTAAGAAAAATACCTTGCAAATAAAATGACATTTATTGTAAGATATTTAAAAAATTATTTTTATGTATAATTTATTAACGTGTGCAATACACATATAATATAAAAATTTTAAATTTAAATCTGGTTAAAATTTTTTTTTTTAATTCAAAATAGTCCATTTTAGTTCTGGTTTTATAAAAATATTTTTATTGTAAAAACATTTATCTAAGTCAAGTGGTTTATTATTACGGTTTATTAAAAAGTCAAAAATGTTTGAAATAGAATATGTTTAAATAATATTAATAATGACTTACATTAATTTATCACAGAAATATGTTAAACAATGTCAGTTGCTTAAATGTCAAACATAAAGCTGGACACTTATCGTATGCAGAAGATCCAAATGGTTACAAATCTCTAATAGCACAAAATCTTATGTTAAGTGATAAAAATTCCTGGACAATTTCCGTAAGTTACAATTCTTAATTTATATTTTTTTGAATTCTTAAGTTTGTAATTGGGGTTTAATCCTTTCTCCAGACATAGGTACTATTATGTCCAAAACATTAACAACATTCATTGCTCTATTACTATTATGTTCCTATGTTTTATATTAGTATTTACCAGTAAACGTACAAGGAAACCTGGCTCGCATAATTTTAAACATAAATAATTAGATCATATAGATCTCAATATTTAATTTAAAAAAATATTTTTCAGCCTGAAATTATATACGGATTTTCTTCTGATCCAAAAATTGTTCAAATGGTTCGTTACTTTTTAGATTTGACAGGGGATAAAGTTAACAATCCCCATCAAACAACTGTTACTCGGCAGTATGCTCAAATATTATTTGATTCTATAGTACACGATAAAGTATTTTTATTACCTCTTTGGATGCCAATAATGAAGGTATGTAGTATAACTGTTGTTTTATTAATTAAAATATTATTTTAATAATTATTTATTTTAGACTTTATGTAATCTACGTCAACCGCCTAGTAGCTTTTATTGTTGGCAATTAAAATTATTTATTGAAGCGGCAAGTACAAGTGTTTTTCATCAAGAAAAGTTGAGTGATAGACCAAAATTAATTCCAATATTATTTGCCTCGTCAATTGAAATGACCTGTGATGCTATCATTCAAAATTGGGAAAGAGGTAAAAAAATAATTAAATCTTAGATTAAGAAATAAACAAAACTAACTATGCTTTATTATTTTGGTTGTAATAGATGGGATTTCAGTTAAAGTATGTTGGGACCCCTCAGATTATCAAGACTCTAAAACTGAATTGATGAAAGGTGCATATTGTACATTATTGGATATTCCACATAAATCCAAAATACCCGAATTTGGTAAGATTTTTATATTAGTTTGGAAAAATATTGTGACAGACAAATTAATTAAACTTCAATTGTATTGTTTTGGTAAACAGAAAATATTATTTTACTCTAAATTTAAAAAAATATTTATACATCTTTATTTTAATGAGATCAGTATCTTACAAACTTTTGCGCAGGGGTATAGAAGTGCAGTGCCCCAATTACAATTTTGAGGCCCCAGTTCAAAAATATTTAAGAAGCCCTTTTAGTTTTTACTGTAACATTTGCGGAAACAGGGTGCCACCAAATATACCAAAAGCCCCCTCCCCCCAAAAATAAAATATATATTAAGGTATTTTGGCTGTGTGGTAACCAAGCCATTTCCTCACATTGATGTATAAAATGTAGGCCCCTCTGAAATTTTAATGGATTTCTTCTTATATGTACTTGTACAATGTATGTACATTGTGAGACCCATTAAGCGGTGCTTTCAGCACCTTCGGTAGTTGCACCATTCGGTTGATGTCATCTGACCGTCACCGACAAAAACTTGTCACTTCTCATTACTAACCTAATTTTGAATTTTATAAAATCTAATAAATTTACATTTAACATCTAATAACTCTGACTATATTGACTTAAGTTAATAAAACAATTATATTTACTCAGGCTCTTACCCAAAATTTGTATGTAGGAGGAGGTTTAGTTTTAAATTTAAATTAAATGGGCTCACCCACTCCATTGTAGTCATCAATCTTCATAATAATAATATAAAATATGAAATAGACAGGATGGTTTTTTTATATCTAAGGCACTTAGTTATTTTTAACTGGTGGGAGGATCTGTTACAATACAAAACACCCGGCCTCCCTGGCTACACCATTGTATTTGTTTGATTTAATATTTGTTTTTACTAATTATATTATAATTATACTAATTCATTAAAACTACATTTTGTATGCTTAAAAATCAAATTTCAAACGAGTAGTTAAGTAATTATAAATGTTTAAAGTTTTGATGATTGGTGCTAAGTAACAATTGGGGCACCCCTTAAAATATTAATCTACAACATTATTCATCTTAACTTAAAATACATGTAGTTAATTCAAAATACTTCAAAAACTATTCTTTTTTGGAACATGAAATTAAAAATATGTGTTGTATTTAGGGTTGCCACCTCTCCGGGTTTCACCCGGAGAATCCGGGTTTACGTATAAATCTACGGGCTCCGGCCTCAGTGAATTATTCTCCGGGTCGGAGATAAAGATAAGATAACATACAATTTTTTATTATTATGCCTCTTTTTTTAAATTATTTTCCGGTATAAAAACCATTTATTCAAGATAACAAGAATAATAAGTTTATGAACTACGGTTTATGACTTTATGAGTCTACGATTACGATTTTACGAATCAGTTTCAACATCACAGTCGAGTGTGTTTAATCGAATCCGAATATCTGCTTTTAATTTTTGCGTCAGTGTAACCGTGCATCGATATTATAAAACTACACAGAATTTGAAAAGTAATTCATTAATGACCACATTTATGACTAAACGACCTTTTTTTTTTTTTTGCTTATCGGCCTGTCTCCGGGGCTGCTTTCTTTCAAAGGTGGCAACCCTAGTTGTATTTCAAAAAAGTTTCAAACTTAAAAATGATAACGATGAAAAATAAGTAAAAATATAACTTTTAAAAGAATGTTAATTGTTTTCAAGTAAATGAATATTCTACATTCAAAGAATCACACAGTATATATTGTATTTTTATTTATTAACTAATTAACATTAATTTATCTAATTTTTCAGCTTTGACGGACCCACATTTATTGTATCAATATTCTAAGGAGCTATTAATATCATGGGAAACAATTAGTAAAATATGTGAATAATTTTAATATTATTTTTTTATCTATAGGTAATAGTTGTACAAAATACTGTATATTTAAATACCTAATTAATTTGTGTTTATTTTTATATATTATATTTTAATAATTTATAAAATGTATGTACGATATTACATTGATTTATTTAAAATATATATTTTGGAATGTAAATAATAAAAATTAAATTAAACTAAAAGTTTAATCATTGAACTTCATTTTTCTGGTATTGTTTTTACTGAAATAATTCTTTCAAAGTGTATTGTTTTACACTTTTATATCTCTATAGTATATACATGATACCGTATAATATAAAAAGATAAGGTGACTGACTGACTAATCTATCAACGCACAGCCCAAACCACTGGACGGATCTGTTTCAAATTTGGCATACAGATAGCTTTTATGATGAAGGCGTCCGCTAAGGAGGGATTTTTAAAAATTCAACCCCTGAAAGGTAAAATAAGGAGTTGTAAAAATACTATAGTAGTGCCATCTATCTAGCAAAATCAAATTTAAATACACAACATTAGCTCCAAAATGCAAAACGTACAAACTTGACATTTGGAATAGTGGTTCTAATGAACTAGATGTTCAATAAGAAAGGATTTTCCCAATATTCACATTTTAATGTGATGGTCAAACAGGAATCTTGAGATTCACGGTAGAATTTAAAACTTTTTTTTGCTCATAAATGATAGAAAAAAATTCAATAGAAAACCGTGAAAATACATTATATATTTATATCACAATGTAGGTATCAAAATGTTTTACCTACGTGATTTATATATTTATTTATTTATTTATTAAGTATTAAACGGGCAAGGCCCTGTTATAATAAACAATAATATTACAATTATATGATAATGTATAACAAGAAGAATAGCATATAATATATGCAACTAATGCATTTTTGAATCCTTGAACTTATACTTATATATTTATATTATCCTTATATTATTGTCGATGCAAAAAAACAATTACAAGTTACAAAATATTAATTATTATTTATTATGTTCTATAGTAGCACAGAAGAGTAGGTACTTAGCAGCTAGTGCCTAGTGCCTATAGTTGAATTGTCAATCTGTTTATTATAAATCATAATTTTAAATTTACAATCGATTATAAATGTACTTGAATATAATATGTCTGTGGTTTTTACTAAATTCCCTCCACTTTTTATGAGCAAATGAAAGAAAAAATTTAAATTTTTAATTTAAATTTTACTTTTTAGTATATTATATTAAAATGTTATAAGCTATTTAAATCAATACGTCATATTAATATTATGTCTATGATGTAAATTCAATTCAATTTTTCTAAACATTGTCCTCATTGGTCACACTGATAGTAAATCTGGTGTTTTGGCATCCTGTCAAGCACGTTCAGCCAACCGAATACAATATCCATTACTACCATATATATTATATTATATTATGTATTATTATTTAGGCATTTAGCATAATATTAGTCTGGTCTGATAACGCGGGTAATGTGTAATTGAATTTCTTGCAAATTCGCGAAAATAATATATTTATTGTTACTTTTTAAAATTTTTTCATATTTAATTTTTTTATTTATTCGTTTTTATTTTGATTCGTTAATTTAATAGTATTGAATATTTTTTTATTGTTTTGTGCCAAATCCGCTGTTACAATTACCAGTAGTTTTTCATAATTTATCCTAGTCACTAACTTTGTTAATAAACACAAATTCTGCTTTTTAAGTTTCATTATATTTTCTTAGTTAACATGGAGTGTAGTTTAGCCTCGACATACACCAGTAGCACCGCAAAACCTTCTAGTGCTGTATCGGGTAACAGAAGTCCAGCGAAGTCTGGCTTACATGTCAATTTTACTGAAAAAGTAGAAGTAAAAGAAAAAAGGGAAAAATTTCTGACAGCCAAGTATGGTGCCCATCAAATGAGCTTAATAAGAAAACGTTTAGCTGTCGAAATGTGGCTGTTAGAAGAATTGCAAAAACTCTATGATTTACCCAAAGTAAGTAATAATCAATTAAATTTTCACTGATATTCTAATATTATTTAAGAGTCTTAGAAAACAAATTGGAAACTAATATTTATATTAGGTAGTTATTATTTTTACTTTTAATAATTTATTAGGTAGGTTGATAGTTCATTAAATTAAATTCTGATTTTATAATAAGTAGCCAAGTAGGTATAAAGTACCAATATTTAGTCTAATTATTTTTGTGGTAGGTGTAGGTACTAACTACTAGGTACCTATTACTTACCTAACTATATTTCTCACAAATTTAAAATGCTTAAAAATATTATTTCTTCTCATCTATAGTTCGATAGGTACCTAAAGACAATTTTAAAGGTTGGGTATTGATTAGGTACAAATAAATATATTTTACCTGTAATTGTATATTATTAGTATATTATATTATAGGTAGCCTAACTATAGGCCACATAGGTACCAGATTTTTTATTTGTTTTTAGTTTAAATAAAATATTTGAATACCTATCTATTTTCTCATACATTTTTAATTTACAATTATTTTTAATATGTTTTTAAAATATCACTATTTATTAAATTACTAACATAAGTTACAAATTATAGATATTTAATATTAGTACTATGTATTTATAATTATTCGTACCTTTATATGGATTATTATTAATTAAATGATTTATTAGTTAAACCTAGCTAGGTACCCCCATCAGGTATATTTTATTAATATCTACAATCTACCTATAATCAGTGGAGTATAGTTATCTATAGAATGAATTAATTATTATAGAGATTCCAGAAGTTTTATTATATTAACACAATTATTATTGTTATTAGGCTTAAAAATTAAAATACAACTTTTTATAAAAAAAAAAAATGTTTTGTTTTGATAATTGTGTATTGTTCAGAAGCAATTACTTTTCGTAATCTTTTGTTCGTCTGAATCATAGAAGCATAACAACAATAGCTTTCTCTGCTATACGTTTATACTTAACAGTTAACTGTTTTTAATCCGTGCTTATATTTAAACTGAATTTCTATGTAAAATAATAATTAGTGAGTCAAAGTATGACCTTTATAATACTTTTTGAATTACTATTTAAACAAAAATCAGCAAAAGTATTACTTATTTTATGAACGTAGACGTATGAAATATGAACTATGAATAATGTCTGGTGATTACTTTTAATTTATGACTCATTATGGTTGACTGACCTCTGAAAATTCCTAATTGTTATTGACTAGTCAGAAACTCCGAACTCATCAGACTAAAACCAGTTTTCCATATAGTTCGTAAATCGTAATAATTTATAACCCATATTGTAAACAAAATCAATTGTATAATAATATTATTATGTACTATTCTATCAACAAACTATTTTTACTCAACAAGTTTGCAGTTGATAGGTTGATAGGTATATTAGTTTTTAGATAAATATAGATTAGCTTGTTTACGAAAAATATTTTTTTCTAGTCAATAAAAATAGTGTTGTCTAGTAATTAAGATTATTATTTTATTTTTTCTAAATGTATTAGATTTTATTAAACATAAACAGTAGGAACATTGAAGAGTTTTTACATTTTTAATTAAAAACATGTTTATAATAAATTTATAATTTATCGTAATTTATGTACAGAATTTGGATAAAAATTCGGTGTCGTGTGTTCGTAGACATCTCAAGTCTCAACACAATACAAATTTCCATAATATCTATACGTTCACTTTTTTTATTCATATATTATGATTTAATTTTTATTAATTACGGAATTAATTAGGTACTTATTATAAAAACTATTAAAATTAATTTGAAATATGATTATTAAAATTTGAATTATTAAATAATATTTAATCATTTTAATATATTAAATTATTATAATTTATAAAACGTTAAAATACTTCATGTTATATTTTCCAACCCATGTATTAAATTACTTTTTTAATCAAAATCCTATATAATTTAAGAAATGAGAGGACTAGGTTATGAGTTATGCTTATGACCTATCAGATCTGACACTCCTTTTGTCACATAACATGTCAATTTTCATTACTAAATTTGTTCTAGCTACTTATAGTGCGGTAATCGGAAAAAAAGTTCCGAAAAAAAATGAATGAAAATATATCAAAATTTAAGTATAAATATGTTAAAACTGTATTGAAAAATACATTACAGTTACATAAAAATCAGTAATATCATAAAAAATAGAAGGGAGCTTACATACCTATATAGTATATATATTATAAAATATTTATTTAATTTTCAAGTTCCCTAATGGAGAACATATTTTTGGCTTTTGCTATAATTTAGTAATTTAGTAATTTACTATTTAGTTTTAGTGTAATGATAATATTATGGTATATATTAAATTGTATAGATAAATATAAACAGTTTCATATTATAAATTATTCATCATAAATTGAAAGGTAATTGCAGATTTAATTTTAAAAAAAATGTAGTTTGCTATAATAGGAACTAATCCTGGATGGTTTTTCAAATGTATTAGACTAATAAATATATTCGAAATTACTATAGATACTTATAATTTGAAGTTTGATTAGGAACATTACATAAAAACAAAGTTTTTGGTATAACAATATGTTATTACCTGCCTATAAACAGGCCTTTTTAACAGCCGTAAGTCATAACACAAGAAAGACTGTACTTAAGTATAATATTACACTTTTATTATTTTGGACTTGTATTAAATTAAATTTTATTATATTTTAATATGTGATTTAAGTAATTAATTAACATTTTTTATGATATTATATAATTTTTTATGTAACTTTAATGTATTTTTCAATACAATTTCAATATATTTATTATTTATACTTCAGTTTTGATATATTTTCATTAATTTTTATAGGGAATTTTTTTCCTAGTGTGGGACTTTTTTTTCCGCGATTCTATAGTGCAGATACTATAAGTATACTAGTACATAGTAATAGAATTAAAGTAGTTTCGAATTTAATGTTATTTAGAAAACAGGATCTTATATTCTTATCAAGTATCAATATTTTTATTTTTATATCGTATTTTTTATGGATAAGTGAGGTAGGTACAAGGTACAAGGTTTCAACAGAAACATTGAATGCTTACGCAGTTACGCTATGCGTTATATACGTTATGTCGTTATAAGCTATAACTTATAACCATTCATGAATTCAATGAGTCATTTTCCTTTTCATTGGATTACATTACGTAACTTTGGTCTACTATATTATTCTACTCTGTTATTGTATAAAATTATTTTACTTTTCTTTGTATTGGTTCAATAACATAGTATAAAGTATTGTCATATTGTTGGGTATCTGGCGCCATTGATTCCCGCATAGCTTATCGATTTGGCGTTAATAATTATTTTCAATGCCATACATTTGTTAACTTTCCAAAATAAAAATGAATCTACCTATGAGTGTATACTACGAATCCCGGAAAAAAAATCCCCGACCCTAGGAAAAGAAATCCCCAGACTACAATATTACTCACAACCTCATGCAAATGGTTGAACAAATATTTTTTAAACGTTAATTAGTATCTATAATTAATATTTAATTACAAATACGTATATTATATTATATTATATTATATTGTTAAAAAAATTATATATTATAAATAATATTTTGTTTTAAATTACGATAATATATTATGTGTAATTCAAATTAAATAACTAACTTTATCTACCTTATATTATATATTATCAAAGGTACATACTAAACCGCTTATCGTCAAAATGTCACAGAAAACGCAATATTTTATTTCGGGGATTCAATTTTTACAGAATTATGCCTACATAAAATATATATGGGTACCTATATTTTGTATAATATTTTTATATACTATGTTTTTAACTGTATTATTAATTGACGTATCGATAAAATAAATATATTTATAATTTTTTTAACAATATAATATAATATACGTATTTGTCATTAAATATTAATTATAGATACTAATTAAAGTTCAAAATATATTTGTTCAACCATTTGCATGTGATTGTCAGTAATATTGTAGCTGGCGATTTTTTTTCCTAGGGTCGGGGATTTTTTATCCGGGGTTGTTCGTCGGGGGATTTTTTTTCCGATTACCGTAATATACTACTGACAAGAAGGCAATTTGCGAACATTTTATTTGATGCATACAACTTGCATCTTGCATTTGATCTGCCCGATTAACCGATGGCAACCAAATGATAAATACTAATTTCTACTAATTATTTCTCTTATAATATATTTTAACCAATAGCAACCATTTATAAACAAAAATGTCCACTGTAAATCTCAAAATCCCCATTTGAACACCTCCCCGCGGGTTGTTGGTAGGAGGGTGATAAATACTTTATGACCTATTCTCATACTGCATACAAATCTAATTTCTATTGAGTTATTGTTACTAGTTTATTAAGGAATTAATTGTATTTTACTTGGCTGACCAACCCACCAATCTGAATACTCATATAGCCGAATATGCCGACGACAAAGCAATATATGCCACCCACGCCGTTCCTGATTAAATCAAAGTTTAGTCTCATCTATTCTCCAAAGCCATCTGAATGACCTATCACACTGGACACTGGTACTCCCTCTGGCGCGTCAAAATTAATGAAAACAAATCTGCACATACCACTTTTGCTCTCCGTCACAGACAACCTCCTCCGGTACATACAAACAACAAACCAATGCCATGATCCGACACAGATAAATATCTAGGTTTAACATGGGCTAAGCATATCCATACAACAAAATTAAAATTAAATCAACGACTTTACTCTCTCAGACCTATTCTCGGTAAGTTCTCAAAGTTATCCGTCAAAACCAAAATCGACATCTATAATCTTCTATTTAAACCTATCTGGCTCTATGATATTCAAGTCTGGGGCACAGCAAAAATATCAAACACACTAAAAATACAAGTGTTTCAATCAAAAATCCTCCGACTCATAACCAATGCTCCACCATATATTTCAAACCACACTCTTCATACAGATCTTCACATTCCTAAAGTTACCGATACTGCCAATGTGTATTACAAAAAATTTAGGAATCGCCTTCAAAA